TTTGCCGGAGTTTACAAGTCGGCGGAAGCTAAGGAAAACTCAAAAAGAAGAGATCAAGGCGCAGAATGTTGGTTCCTTGCCTCTCATGCATGTGCACTACGATCTTAAAGGACTAGTCGCCCTGCTCTACTGGTCTTTTTTTTTAATGAAGGCAGTGAGAAAACTATAACCAGTAACTTTGGTTGATAAACATTTTATTTATCTTAAATATCACTTGTCTGAGAATGTCATCAGCGGCCGATTAGCTCAGTTGGTTAGAGCGTCGTGCTAATAACGCGAATGTCGTGGGTTCGATCCCCACATTGGCCAGCTTTTATTTTAAATTATGCCTACTCTGCGAAATAACTAAGTTTGAGTGTGGGCTACTATTTATTATTCATGCTGTAGTATTTTGGTAAAATTCTCTGTCTATGAAAAATCACCAGCAAAACTAAAATCGAAATGTCTAAGAATATTATTATTAGAGAAAAGATTGAACTGCATATTGCCTAAATTACATTGAAAGACAGTGACAAAATGTGATCATTTAGTACTAATAGAAAGACTGCATCCAGACTAAGTTGTATATGGGACATTCTACGGAAGTACATCTGCGCGAAACAGGGAATTTCACGAGTTAAAGACCTATAAAAATGTGGATAAACACTGTTACTGAATCTGCAAAAAAGATTCAGTCCAACAAATAAAACAATTACTGAAAAGTCACCTGAAATGTTCAACACAAGTACACAAAACTACACAACCGGACTACGTTTTTGTAATACTGTGACAAAATGTATTGTGTGCAAAGATCTAAGGATGATATTAAAAAAAAAAAAAAAATACATAAACTGGCACCAAGAAACAGCCATAAGGATTGACAACCTAGTTGGAACTTTTCAAAACATTAAACAAGGCGCTAGACAGAGATATGTACTATCACGCGATTTATTCAATTTGTACAGTGAAAAAATAATTAGAACCATACATGGCATGCCAGGAATTTCGATTAGTGGGTATATTGTAAACGTTCTGCTTTATGTTGACGATATAGTTGTGATTGCTGAAAATTAAACACATCTGCAATAAATTTTGGATACAATTATAACAGAAAGTGAAAACAACGGTCCTAATTTAGTAATAGTAATTACAAAGAAAATTGGCCCTTTAAAATACAATATGGGACAAATCTCAAGCAAGGTGATATGTACTTGGGCACCCTAATAACATCAGATGGAAGATGTATTTAAAAAGTTAACGTAGAATAAATAGCTCAAGCAAAAGCAGCATTGTTACAAAATGGAGAACATTTTACGCAGTCTTTCTCTGGCAATTGAGACGAGAAAGAGAATTCTTAAAAGCAATAAACATCCTGTCTTGATATACGGAAGTAAATCATGGACATTTGGTACATTAGTGAAAACATATTTGGGAGCTGCGGAGATGTGGTTTTATAGACGAATGGTGAGAATAACATGCGCAGATACAAAGAGCAATGAAGATATCTTAAAAGAAACTGACTCACGAAAAGAACTGATGCCCATATAAGAAAGAAAGAATCTAAATTCTTTGGTCATGGGATGAGAAGGATACGACTGAAGTACATCGTGACAGTACGAAAGTTGGAGGGGAGGACAGGCAGGGGAAGACCGAGGGAAAAGATGCTGGGCAGTTTGATATGGCATGGAAGATCATCTGTGTCAGTATCGATTTAAAGTAACGAGACAGAAGGTTGCGGATAGACATGACTGCCAACGCCACACGGTAAGGACTTTGAGAAGTGATGACACAGGAAAATTTGTTCCTTCATAGTATTTGTCGTTAGTAAACGTATGTTTATCGTGTTATGTAACAAAATGACATTTCAACACGAGCACCCATAAATGTGCTTGTATTTATAAAACAAAAAAAAAACAAAAAAATTACACCTCCGACGGGACTCGAACCCGCAATCCCCGGCTTAGGAGGCCGATGCCTTATCCATTAGGCCACGGAGGCGTATACATATGTGATTAAAAGATATTTTATATAATGTATAACTTTAAAAAAAAAAGAACTTTTTATGACAATAATGTTTAATCTATTTTTATTACTGTTTAACATTATTTAGGATGTTGGCCTGCTATATCTAGAAAAAATACTGACATAAATATTTAAAACAAAATTAATAAAATTAAATGTAATAGTGACCGGAAGAACATTTTGTTTGACTGTTGTTACCGTTCTTGTACAGTGCAGTGTTGCCACTTTGGATCTTTTGTATCCAAATTTAGATCTTTTTCACTGCGTTTAGATCCTGTTTTTGACTTTTAGATACTAAATATTTTTCTAGAAACTTTTCATATGGAGTTAGATATTTTATAGATTTTTTTTCTTTTAGTGTCATTTTAATAATTATTGAGTAAAATATTTACTAAAATATTTTTGTTTTGGTCTGGCACGTACATTGTGGCAACTGCCATTACTTAAACTTTGAACTCTCACTAAGGTCAACACTCAAATATCTGACAACCCCGGTGCTGATTAATCGAAATCGCGCGTAAATCATACTAACTTTGTTTCAACCGTATCCTCACTGTGTTGTGAAGTATAGCTGTGATGCTGACTCTGTGTTTCTTTTTCATGTGATTTTTGAAAAAATAATTGCTCACCTTCTTGTGTGGCTTTCACTTTGAAAAAACCTTTCAACATGCCAAAAGTAAAGTATGAGCAAAAATTTCGGAAAGAGTATTTGCATGATGACAAAATTAAAGACTGGGTGATGGCAGTTCCTGAGGATATAACCAAGGCTCGTTGTAAGTACTGCAAGTGTGAAATTAAAGCGAAAATACAAGACTTAAAGAAGCATGCAGAGACTAACAAGCATAAAACTACTGCAGTTCCATTCAAAGATATTACACCGCTGACATCTGTTTTCAGAACTACACTGATAAATGAATCATCAAAAGTTGAAGGGTCGGTCGCAATGTTTTTAAGTTGCCATTGTGCAATTTCAAACTGTGACCATTTGATTGATTTGTTTAAAAACACACATTTCTGACAGTAAAGTTATGGATGATGTGAAAATGCATCGCAGCAAGTGTACACATATTATAAGAAATACTTTATTTTCTCACTTCGAAAAAGATTTGATCAGTGATATTTCTACAAATAAATATAGTTTATTATTAGACGAATCCAATGATATTTCGGTACTGAAAGTGCTTGGTGTGTGTATTATATATTACAGCAACAATACAGACAAAGTAGTTTCTACATATCTTGGACTAGTTCAATTGGAAAAGTGTGATGCAGAAAGTATAGTTCAAGAAACTGAAGAACCTTTTAATCAGCAAACAGTTAGACTTGACAAATTTGGTTGCAATTGGTACCGATAATGCCTCAGTGATGGTTGGCATAAACAATGGCGTTTATGCCAAGTTGAAGGAAGCTATCCCATCGTTAATACTTATAAAATGTATGTGTCATTCATTGCAGCTAGCATTATCACATGCTTCATCTGAATGTTTACCAAGGAATTTGGAATACCTTATTGCTGAAACACATAACTGGTTTTCAAAATCATTTGTCAGACAACAGCAATACAATGCATTGTATTCGGCCTTAAATAATGGTTCCACACCACTGAAAATTCTGTCAGATTGCAAAACCAGGTGGTTATCAATACAACCAGCTGTTGAAAGAATTGTGAACCAATGGTTGGAGTTAAAGACACACTTTGAAATAACAAGACAAAGTGAAAAGTGCTACACAGCTGAGATACTATATGGAATGTACAGTGATAAAAAAATTTGGCATTCCTTCTCTTTTTACAACCTATTCTAATGGAAGTGCAAAAAGTTAATAAACTGTTCGAATCCAAACATGTTGATAAAGTTAAATTACTTGACGATCTCACTTTGCTATTTTACTCAGTTGGTAAAAGACTGGTGTTGCCAACTTCAAAAGTTGATTTGCTCACTTGCACTATAGAGAGCTATTTGGCTCCTAAGCCATACCTTGGATATCAAATTGAATCAAAAATTGATGATTTAAAAACAAAAGGACTGTTAACAGAGAATGAAGAGAATAACTTAAGAAAACGCTGTCAAGATTTCCGTATCTCATTGTTCAAGCAGCTAAAGCAGAGACTTCCTGAAAATCTAGATGTTTTGAAAAATATTTCACTCTTTTCTGTGAGCAACATACTTCAGCCAGTAAAGGACATACCTAAATATTGTAAAGTTATGAAATTTTTAGGGGCTACTGACAATAGTGTCGCGGGAGCAGAATATCAGTTAACCAAAATAAACTTAGTTGAATGGACAAACAAAACAGAAACTGGAGCGTTTTGGAGTGAAGTGAGACAATTTAAAGATGCCTCATCAAACAGTCCATTCTGTAAACTCTTTGAATGTGCCATGTCTGCCATGATACTACCCCACTCAAATGCTGACGTAGAAAGAGTTTTCAGTGCTATGAATTACATCAAATCTAACATAAGAAACAGGATGAAATTAGACCTCTTAAATGCTATCTTGACAATAAAGTTTGGCCTGATGAGAGTAGGAAAATGCTGTTCCACTTATCAGCTCCCTGATTGTGTATTAAAAGAAATAGGAACAGCTAAAGCATACCAGAGTAATTTGGGATCTGAAGCTTCAACTTCATCATCCAAGCTAAGTTTATCCTGTGGATCTTGTGAAGCAGACATCAGTGAAGATGAGGACATGTGTCTATAGGGTAAAGTCATTTCAATAGTTTTGTAATTTGTGACTCTTTTCATTTGGATATTTTTTTTAAATATTTTCCACGCAAATTTAGATCTTTTTAGATATTTTTTTTACCCTGTTTTGGATCTTTTTTGTCAAAGAAAAGTGGCAACACTGTTCTTGTATCTTGTATCCCAGTTCGTGCAAATCGTGAAAACGGTGAATCCCGGAGCTGTCTGTATCATGTGTTGAGTTTGAGCTCATATGGTCGACACAGATTAGAAATAAGAAGCGTTTAGTGTGTAAAGCGTTTCTTTCACTTCACTCGAAATGCCCAGAAGCAGGAGTAGAACTCCGCCTTCAAAACGTGGTAAGCGACTCTATTAATTTCTATACGACGTACGTCCCTCTGGAATATTTATATTTGGTTAAGTTAAATGTGCATTTATTAAGTGTAATACTAATTAATACTTAAATAATTATAATACTCATAAATTGTGACGTTGTCAAGAAATCTGCATCTGCTAATGTCAAGTAATGACGAGTCCGTTTAGAGTCAGTATAAGCTGCAGTTAAGAATGATAACTGAACCACTCGCTGCGCTGTGGCTGTTCTCTTCTCTACACCTGGAATGACTCCGCTCGCGGCGTCAGGGAAGGAAAATATATCTACTTAGAACGGAACGGGCACTTCTGTTCGCTTCGTAAAAAAGTACTTTTCAGTGTCTCTGATATTTCTGCTGTCCATGTTCTGTGTGGTCAACCTTTGACTCTTCGTTGGGCTCTCCTTTAAATACAACGGTCCCAAATGATATACGCAGAAAGTTAACCCTTACAGAGCCTCATTACATCCTACCCTACAAAGATTTAAAAGGTGTAGCTCGGAAAATATAAGGAATGAAAAGTATGAGGAAAAGGGCGAAGTCTACTACTTACCCACAGTTAAATCCTTTATTGCCTTTATATGTGAAAATTGGGGCACAGAAGTTGCAAACAGTGCCCGAATATCTGTTCTTTCTGGGTGTCCGCCATTTCAACAGGACGCGGCTTGTCCGCGATTCTCGTTCCGGGCGAGACATAATCAATAATGCGCATTTTAATGTACGCGCATGTCTGGACAACTTCAAAACAGCAGTCACCTCGGGACAACTTCAAACCAGCAGCCGCCACTATGGCGCTGCACTATCCCGATGACCCCTTGACCGTGGCGAATGTGACCACACTGGCAGTTCCGACGCAAGTAGTAGCTCATGACTGTTTTCCTGCGACTATAGTGCCACCTCCGAGAGTATCCCCCGAGAGAAGGGGTTAAACTAGATGGCTAGGACTCAGAGCAAATACAATGGAGGAAGCTGCAGGAGAAGCGGTAGCTGCTGCTTGTGAGTCCCAGCCATCTAGTTTAGCCCCTTCCACGCTGCGCGTAGCGGCGCGAGAGATACTCTCAGAAGTGGCACTCTAGTCGGCAAAAAGAGGTCCGGAACTTACATATAACTGTGGCTCTGCCGTAGGGTAGCACACGGCCAACTCTAGATATAAATAGCCTGAAGATGGCCCTGCCGTAGGATAGCGCTATCGGCAGTATTCTAGCGTGTCACTAATTTTTTTCGTCCGTAGTTAATCCTAGTTTGGCCGCCATGTAATCCCCGTAAAAAATCCGGTGCGTTTCGCGAAAATGTCGTGCGCAGTTAATCCTACTTTTGACACGGTTGAATCACCGCAAAAGAAATGCGAATTTTAGATATGAGTGAGGCTCTGTTTGTGTTTACTTTCTGCGTAGATCATTTGGTACCATTATTTAAAGGACAGCCAAACTTAGTTTGAAATCGCTGTTCTCTGTTCTGATCTGAATACTTCACATGATGATTACTAGACATTACGATGATGTGCAGTAACTAATTTTTCGGGAGAGTGAAAAATTCTTACTTCAGAATCAGAGATCAGTGGGATTGTCTGCACCATTGAATACATGCAAAGTTGAGAGGGAGGCATCATAGTCTTAGGACTCTAGGGGTGGATGGAGGAGGAGGAGGTCATTAGAGGGGCAAGAAAGGGCTCTCCTCCGAACTTGTTCCCATATTATGGCGGCCAACCAAATACCCTAACAGGGCCTCAGGCATATGTAAAATGCAGACTTCCTTCGACGAACACATCGCGGCAAAACTATGATTACTGTCCATTGACAATTACGAAAAGGCAACAATACACATGATAATGACATGGCGGGGAGACCACACACTCCCACGCAAGTTAGCAATAGTGTTCTTCCGATTAAACTCACCGCCGAGGGTATTCCCCACGCCGCTACGCTCAGCGCAGATGTGGGGCTTAACTAGATAGCTGGGACTCACGAGCAGCAGCTACCGCATCTCCTGCAACTTCCTCCAATTTATTTGCTGTGAGTTCCAGCCATCTAGATTAGCCCTACCCCCCATCTGCGCCGCGCGTAGCGGCTATGGGCGGTGTGGCATAGTTGCAGAAACAGGTCCACAATTAACATATCGCTGAGACCCTCTTAGAGTATTTGTTTGCCCTCAATAATGTTGGCCCTTTATTCGGTGTGCATTTTACACACGACTGAGGCCCTGTTATTACCGCCATTTGAGGAGAGCCACAAGGAAGTAAGAAGCATAAACATTAAAATTTGAAATGTTAAAAATGCAAATTAATTGGGAAGATTTGGATGATAATGTGTCACTATCCTAAAGTAAAAAGAGTAGCCTGACAGCCCTGCCCGGGCAAAATTTGGAGTTAAAAATCTACCCAAAGTATTTCAGGAGTTCATGCACTGCCCTGAGATTCTTTAGACTCAGGCTTCAGTCATAAGTAGAATGGAGCACTTATGGGTTACTACCCTTGTGTCATGATGTTGATCGTGTAAACCTACACCAGAATATGAAGCTGCAGGAGATGATTAAATAAAAAATGTTTGGGGATTTTGGTGTGTTTGTTGTTACTGACTTCTTCTTTAACATTTCTTCACTTCTCATTTATTATTGGGAAAAATTGAAACAAATTGCATGACATATAGACCATGTGAAGATAAAAAAACGGACCATGTAAATGATGAAAAAAAGGAAAAACAGCATCAGGAAACCCCCATAATCAAAGTCCACAGCTTGGCAAGAAAATAAGAGACATAAAAAAAGCGAAGATGGTTAGAAAATACTAATTATTTGGGAGAATGTTTAGACAGGTAGAGTGCAACTCATTATCATCATGTAGCAGGTTCTTTGCAGAACGTTGCTCTCATCACGGTCTGCCTGAAAGAAACTTGGTCTCTCACCAACTCTCCCACCTCATGCACTTTTATACTCAAGCAGTCACTTATATCCTGTGTCTATCTTCATGTTGTCAGCCCCTGCCCCTCCTTCCTGGTACCATGCCTTCTGATATTATTTTTTCAAATCCCTTGTGGCGCTTGAAATGACCAAAATATTTCAGCTTCCGCGACAGGATGCTATTTATTAGCCAATTTTCCTTGATGTTCAGATCTTTCAAGATGTCAGTATTTCACCTCTTCCTTTTCCAAGATATTCTGAGAATCTTTTCTATAGCATTTCAGCTTAAAAGTCCCTATTCTTTTTCTTAAGGACTGGGAGATAGTCCACGACTCACATCCGTATGTTGAGTGAGACTTCTAATTAATAAATATGCAAAGGTTAGGAGAGCTTGGTATGTTGGTTGACAGCCTGTGCTCTAGCTGAGCAAAATAATGCAGCGGAAAAGTTGTGTTTTGTTAATTGCTTTTGGCGTCAGCATATATTTCCTTTTTGTACACAGTACCGGCACCGTTTTCAGCATAATTTTTTTTAGTGATACTGTAAAAATACTTTATGGTGAGTACCAGTACCTTTTTTGGAAATTTTATGGCGAGCACCGGCACTTTTTCCTAGAAAAAATGCCCAGGCATCAGTATTTGTATAATACTTTATGTAAACTGTCGCTACTGTCTGTATTTACCACTTTTTGGGTTTAGTGTAGACAAAGGGGCCAAGAGCCTGAGGGTTTGGTTTGGGCCGCATGGCTAGTGCTGTTGCCACGGACTGTGCATGTTAGGATGTTTTTGTCTCTGACAGAAAATCTCCATCATCTTACTTAGCTGGGGTTGAGCTCGGCTCTCCCGATTGAGTCTGTTTATACTTTATGTGACCGACATTATCATGGCATCCAATAGTACCTTGGGTAGCTCTGTTTGTCAGTCTGGTAAACTAAAAGTTGCTTTGATTGCACACAGATATCTCTGTTTGTCAGTCTGGTAAACTAAAAGTTGCTTTGATTGCACACAGATATCTCTGTTTGTCAGTCTGGTAAACTAAAAGTTGCTTTGATTGCACACAGATATCTCTGTTTGTCAGTCTGGTAAACTAAAAGTTGCTTTGATTGCACACAGATATCTCTGTTTGTCAGTCTGGTAAACTAAAAGTTGCTTTGATTGCACACAGATATCTCTGTTTGTCAGTCTGGTAAACTAAAAGTTGCTTTGATTGCACACAGATATCTCTGTTTGTCAGTCTGGTAAACTAAAAGTTGCTTTGATTGCACACAGATATCTCTGTTTGTCAGTCTGGTAAACGAAAAGTCACTTTGATTGCACACCAATATTTCTCATATCGTAAGACTAGTAAACTAAAAGTCTAATTGCACATGCATGTCTCTCATATTTGTAAGCCTGGTAGAGTGAAAGTTACTTTGATTACACATGGATATCTTTCCCATTTGTAAGTCTGGTAAACATATTTCTAACATCATAAGACTAGTAAACTAAAAGTTCTGATTGCACGTGGATATCTCTATTTGTAAGTCTGGTAAACTAAAGTCACTTTGATTGCATACACATATCTCTCGTATCATAAGCATGTTAAACCAAAAGTTCCTGTGATTCTGTGCACATATCTCTTTGTATGACTGAAAAACTAAAAGTAACTTTGCACTTCCTATTGCCATGGGCTGTAATTTCTATGACAGTGTAACACTGTCCTTTGTATTTGTTGAATAAAGAATCATCATAGCACTCAGGACACTCCTATGAGCGCTCCATCCCCTTCTTCACCAGCAAGCGAGCAGTTCCAATTCCAATGGCACCAGTAGCTGTCTGATTGTTTATCCGTCTCGCCTTTGCCTTGAATGTTGAGTGCTGGCCAGATCTCCTGGTAACTTTTTACAGCGCCGTTCTCCTCAGACAGTAATGATCTGTCTGTGCCTCCCAACTGTTTACTCTCTCCTAAAGGGCCCTCACAACATCTAGCTTGTCATACATCAGTTCACCACCAACTGGTGTAGAACAGGCCAGTATATCTGCCTTCTCATTTCCCAACACATCAATAGATTATTATACTTAATAAGAAAACAAATCATTGCCGGAGCTACGGAGTGTGTGCTCTGCTTGATACCGTCTTCAAGTAACAGTGGAGAGAGTGGAAAGAGCAGAAGACTTATCATTTGGAAAGATGAAAAGGTGCCAGCCATTTCACTGATAATTTTCACTGCTATTACATTGTCTGATTGATCATGCATGACACAGTGCAAACCCTATTGATTTCCCTCTCTAGTCACAATTTTTGTTTTTAATAACTATAAATTTCCAGTTTTGCAGAATGCTGTTTATAGTTTGTCTTAAGATTTGTTGCACATTTTAAAAGTCCCTTTTAAAGCTAATTTATAAAACACAGAACTTGTAATGTGGAAATGATAATGCAGAAGACTGAAAGAAATTTACCCTTTTACTGTGAGGTTAATGTGGATGATATGTTTTCTTGTTTACAGACAGACGAAGGTCAAGATCTCGTTCAAGGGAGCGCAGGCGTAAGTATATATGTGTATATATATATAGAAAAGTTCATTTACTGTGTGGTTTTTGGGGTCCAATTTTGTGATGAACAAGAATAGAACCCCCCCCCCCCCCCCCTCCTTTTCCATTAGTAAAAGTCAACTAATTACGGGTATTTATATATATATATTTCTGCCTTTCTAGACAGTAGTGTTCCATTGTGCTATAGGGGGGAATATATCAATATGTATGTATGTATGTATGTTTGTTGCATTGTGACTGAATATTTGTGTTATTATTTGTTTGTGTTTTTTCATATAGATCGCAAGAAAAGAAGTAGATCCAGATCACCCAGATATAGATCACCCCCAAGGCACAGATCAAGGTCCATATCTCCCAGAAGGAGGTTAGTATGAGTTCAGCAAGCGTAATGTTTTTGTCTCTTGTGTAGGTTTAGAAAAAAATTCTGTGTGAGTTCCGGGGCCCCTTTTTGGGGTTGGGGGTTGAAAATAGACACACTGCCTCTCTAACAAATATGTTGTTAAAGGTGATTAATTAGGGATTTTTCCTCTGAAGTCAGAGCATTTTTGTCTGAAAGGTGAGGGACCAACAGTCTGCATACAAGTTAGCCAGATCTGTAAATGTAAAACATCACACAAAATTCAAGTTCTGCAACAAGACTAAAGTCCAGAAGTTGGTTAACAACTAGAACTCTGCAGCCAGTGACCGCTAAGAAGAAAATGTTATCATCTTGTAATATACTGAGTCATTTCATGGTAGTGCAGCTCCTTCCCTTGCCATAACATTTTGAAAATGTGAATAGAGCTGAGTAAAACAAAACCCCCATCGGGTAATCGCAGTCCCAACATCACAGTAATCAAGAGCTGTTGTGTTCAGAAGAAAAGAATCTTGCCACTGCTGGGGATTGAACTCCGGCTGTGATGCAGCAGAGATGCTGAACCGTACTTATTGGTGACCAGATCTCATATGTCATGACCTATCTGCACCTCTTTGCAGTTGTCATTGAATCAGGTTCCCAGCCAGAAACCTGGCTAAGATACATAAGAAAATGGTTCCCTCAAAACTGGCATCTGTCTGCCTGAGGCAGGGAGCCAGCAGTCTACACATCTGCAAGCAGATCTGTGGAACAGATAGATTTTCACACAAGTTAGTACTCATCTGGGTACCAGGGGCTGCATTGAGGGGAAACAGAAATACACTGCCCTTCCCAAAAAGCATGACGTAGAAGTGAACTATTTGGGGGCATCCTTCAAAGTCAGAGTACATCTGCCGGAGAGGCAAGGAACCAACAATTTGCATACAAATAAGCTGCATGTGTGAAATGGATGTTCTTGCAGCACTCAGGTTTAGACAAAGAAATAAAAGTTGCAAAATTAATCTATATTCTGCTTTAGTATTTAAAAAACCCCAATTGGTGGTTTTGAAACAAAGATATTAATAAAATGACATTACTGTTAAAGGGGAAGTGCGTAGCCAAATCCTAAAACATATGTTTAGTGGCCATCATAATAAATGGAAGATTAACAGCATAATAGGCCAAGCAGACACTGCATTTCGGAAGATGTAAAATATATGTAATCAGTCACTTTCCTTGTGGATTGATGGTATGCAGTTTTTGACATTCTGTTGGCTGTTGGCATGAATTTTTGATAATTTTGTTGCTTTTCTTGGATGTACCTGTTAAAATATTGGTGCACTGTTTTGACATTGCTATAAACTTATGATTTGTTTCTCCCATTTGTTAGGTCGCCAGTTAGATCTCCATCACATAAGCGATCACGGGAAAGGTCTCGTGAAAGGTAATTTTGTTTTTTTTTAGATAACTGAAATTTATAGATGTCAGTTTATAGTTTCATATTTTGCTGCTATTTAGGGGATTATCAGTGCACTGTTGCTATTCATCTGATGTATTTGCTCTGAGGACTTGGTTGTAGGCACACACACACACAAAAGTTTATTATACTTACTGTTTTCAGTAGTTTGTACTGCTTGCAGATTTGGTCTGTGTAATTAATCCACTAAGAAGCATACTGAAAAAGGAGGGTGGGGTGGAGGAACAACATTCACACACAAAGAAAGGCTGTGGTCAAAACATGCAATTTGTATCTTGTGTCTATACATTGTTTCCCAGTTCCTCTCCCTTAAGCGTCCCAGTAAGTGGATTAATTTCTTGGTGTTATCTTGATTGCAGTTGTCCCTGTTTTCTTCATGTTTTGGTCTATGTAGACGATAGTTATAGAGACAGTAGAGTACATCAGTATTCTGCTCATTGTGTGGATGGATCCTTAGAATAAATCCATCTGGTTACCCCATCCCGTCCCGCCCTCATACTTTATTACTCTTACTGTGTAAGCATTTGCGTATATTTATCAAATTATTACACCATAGTTACTTAATGTTCTCCACAGATATCATTTTTTCCTAATCGAAGGCTTCTTGTGTGCATTTGCTATACATAATGGCAGTAATTTGAAATGTAACAAATACTAGAATTAACACAAGCTACAGGTATAAACCTTGACATACAAAAGTCACTATAAAAGACCAGGGTTTGCTTCTGCCTGAAATCTCACAAAGAATCGGCCTTCACCCAAGTGTAGATTTATTCAATGATTGACTGGAATTTGCAGCTACAGTTTTGCACAGGATGATGTCAGTCACACATTTTTTAGTCATCTCTTATGGCATGCATGGTAGGTGTGAAAATTTGCTAAAGCTGTGTAGGTTATGATGCATTGTTTTAACTATACACAGTCACAGTTGTGAGTTATACTCTGGGTACCTTCCTTTTGTCTTGTCTCATAGGTCATGACTTTTTGAAATTAATACTGTTGACGGGAGGGTTTAACAACAGACTAAAAAGAAAATATTTCTTTCTAGCACTCGCTGGCTGAAAACTATAGTAGATAGTTCTCCATATTCGTCACATCTTGACTTTAGTCTTGTTTCTAAACTTTTGCATGCACATCCATTTTACACATGTGGCTTATTTGTATGCAGACTGTTGGTGCCTCACCTCTCAGGATTATGCACTACATTTTTAAAGGAAACATCTTTATTTAGTCGTCATTTAGGATATGCTAGTTAGGGGGGCAGTGGGTCTGTACTTTCCCCCAGTGTGGGACCCTGGAACCCTCACAGAGAATTCACAGTATTTATTGATACAGGTTTAAACAAAAAAGACAACAGATTATGCAGTGTATTGCCTAGTACATTTCACTGAATGCCAGATGTTTTGCTCTATCAAGTATTGTAACAAAAATAAATAAGATAATAAAAATTGAGTCTAACAATAAAACTAGCACTCAAATCTAACTTTCTGTCATTTATTTGCTTGATATTTATTAATTATGTTACAGTAGAATACAGCTGACAAGATAAAGGTTTTACTTAAAATAAATTTTAGTCTGTTTTCTTTGTCCAAATTCACGATGAAACATTGCTTTAATTAGGTTTAAAATGAATATTAAATGATAGGAACACAAACAGTACTTTGCACAATTTATTATTGGCATATATTTTGCTGTGTCTCATTAGCATTACTACAGGGTTACATCAACATAGAGTGAAACACAACACATGATTCTTTCCAATGAAATAACACAAATCACATCTTCTGTAGTTATACAGTATTTCTCAGTAACAAAATTTCAAGATGGCCGTGCGATTACCACAAAAGTTTAATATTTACTATAATATTTACCCTGCAAGGTACCAGAGGATCAGGATGAGATGAAAGATTGACTGTACGGTTCTGGTTTCGATGTTAAAAACTGCTCTCATAGTTTGTTTTTTTGTGTCTCTGGTATGAGAGTCACACTGTGGAAGAACGTGGGACATCACTGTATGATATTCTGAAAGACAACTGTGGTACACTGTAGCCAACCTCCACTGTGGAGATGGCACATTATTTGTATGGTTACTATAATATTTAATATTATGCAAGCAGACAATCCATTTTTGGACATATCATTAGGAAAAAACTGCAACATGCTATGACAAAGTGGGAGGGTGATGAAACCTTTAAAAAATGTTTTCTTTCTAATTAACATCAATTGTCTCAGAGAGCCACTATTTGGGTGAGAATCCAGCATTAGCAAATCCAGGAAACGCTGTGACATATGAAAACGTAAAACACTATTATATTAGGATCATAACAGTTAAGACATAATCTGTACAATTTGTGTAGTACAATTTGGGTGGGTTCACCTTGAATGTATTGACTACGTATAGGTTATGTGTACTTAAGTTTCCAGGAGTTACCAGATCTGGCCAACACTCAAGGTAAAGGTGAGATGGATATACAATCAGATAGTTACTGGGGCCATCGGAATTGGAACTCTTCGCTTGCTCTTGAAGATGGGAATAGAGCGCTTATGAAATTGTCCCGAGTGCTATGAGGTTGATTCTTAAGTCAACATTTATCATAAGTTTCTTTTGTGTGACTTTTTAATAAATTGTTAATATTTTCATAATAGTGGTAAAAGTTATGACACAAATAATATCAATTTATGTTCCTTTATGTTTTACAGAGAAAAGGAACCACACAGGATAGAGAAAATTGTTCTGTCTGATTCAGAAGAGATTGATGGTATATTTCCATATATGTTTTTTGTTTTGTAGAAACTCATTTCCTGTTCCTGTTTCAAACCTGATACTGACCAATGAATAAAAGAAAAGAGCACATGCTTATCATCTCATGATACATAGGTTGTTTCTGACCATTGGGAAAATGGCTGGTATGACAGTGACAAAAGCTTTAAGTTGATTGCAAGATCTGACCCCCCCCCCCCCCCCCCCCCCCCCCCCCCCCCCCCCCCCAAATCTTGTAGTTGGAGGAATATCATTAACCATGCGGGTTTCGGGGCCCTATTTTATGGCGAATGAATATATTTCCCCACCAACCAGCGTGTTGTAAAAAGTGACTAATTAGAAGTGTTTACTTCAGGGTTGCAGTCTTATCTTCCTGGAAAGTAAGGAATCCAGTTAAAGCAGATGTGCACACAAAACTCAAGTTCTGGAACAAGACCAAGGTCCACAAGTGGATGAACAACCAAAACTTTCTGCCAGAATTCACAGCCAGTGAATGCCAAGAAGAAGAAGAAAAGACATCTTATTATTTTTTTTGTTATTAAAGCTGATCAGTCTTTGTGATTTAAAAAAAAATATAAGTTGTGTATGGTTTACAGGAGGACGTTGCAGAATGAGCCCTATCATTTTTTTATCACTAGAATTTTGTGTGTGATTTTTCTCGGTGATCTTATAAGTAGCAATTTGACATTGCTTTTTGAATCGCCTGCACTAATACCTTGTTGAAATAGTGCAAAGCGGTCGGCTGAAAAATTCCCCACAGCTGGCATTGCATCGAATATTTCAGAATTACAATGAGCATTCACAACACCTAAGCTGCGGACGTTGAAAATCAGTTTCTTTTTTTTTTCTTGCAGCAGTTGTTCATTAATTATGATAGCTGTAAAACTTAAGTTCAGATACATCAGCACACAGGGTTATTCACTTACATAGTCATCAAAACTAAATACTAGGGTCAGTGTAAGGGAAATTGTGAAAAGCTCAGGTTATACAGTATTTATGGATGAGCAAATCTATCCGTTTTACCTTTATCAGTGTTAGGTTCTGTAATATAGTTATTATACTGTGCAGACATGACTCAACTGGAATTTACCCAATCCGAGATCGCCTAAAGTGGTCAATGCTGTATGTGTCTTGCATTTTTCACAGTAGAATTAACAGGGCATCTAATCGGCATTGGATCCAATCATACCCGCTAACAGCTTAATGTTTTTCACACCAACAAAATCAAATCAAAGCAGTCAGTGACATTTTTTTCAGTTTTTACAAGAAAATGTAAATGAATATTTATCAGCTATTTAAGGTCATTAGACTTTGTGGCCACCTGATGAGAATGCCCTTGTACCACCTGCCACAGAGAGCTACACTGAAGAAATATAATGAACATAGATCAAGGGGAAGACCACGCAAGAAATGGAGCGAAAACATCAGGAACAATGTAACAGAAATGAACACCAACTTCTACAATGCATTGGGAAAAGCGCAGAAACGATCCTTACATCTCCCCTCAAACCTCGCTGAGGTAAATGATGGAAGAGAAGAAAAAGGCGGCTTTATGGATATCCTGAATGTAACGAGGAGAGACAGGATAACAATGACAAGAGCAGGAAACAAATTAGGACTGTACTGTTACATTACGTCATAAAACAACAGGTCAAAGGCACGCACCAGATGCCTCTTCAAAACCTGATGCTGAAAGGCAGAACAGGACTAGAAAAGAAGCCTTTATGCTTTATGAAAACAAACAGTTGCAGAGATGGAGGTTGACAGTGAGACATAATTTAATATTTCTGTTGACATTATTTCTTTATTCTCCGGCAGAGTCCAAAATGGAAGGCCTGGACGAAGAACAAATGGCCATGATGAAGCTAATGGGTTTTGCTACCTTTGACAGCACAAAGGTTGGTTTCTCTGATAATTATAGCGTCTGCATGCTCAGAAAAAGCAGATGTGATTGTCTTTTTTTTTTTTTTAAGATTATGAAAATTTTCACTTGTGATGGACACACATTTGTATTCTGATATCAGCCAGTGGTTTTTGTTTGTTTTATTTTAGCTGAATACATGCTTGGTCTTTCGAATTTAAAAGTTTAAAGAATGAAGTCAGTCAATGACTGCTTATTCATCTCTTTTGGCCATAACTTTATTTGTACTCTTTTTTTTTTCAATGTTTAATTTTTTTTAAAAACATTATCTTTTAACATGTGTAAACAGTTATGTGTAGAAAAAGAGGAGAGGGAAAAAAAGATTAAACACAAGCAGATATATATATATATATATATATATATATATATATATATATATATATATATATATATATATATATATATATAAAATACATACTACTGAACCTGAAAAATGTCCTTGTATATTCATTCAGGGCAAGAAAGTGGAAGGCAACGAGTTGTCTGCTGTAAACTTGCAAAGGAAGAGAAGATACAGGTAAGTTTCCTTTAAGATTATTTAATGACCAGTCTCTTTGTGGAGCATATTTCAGCATATTATATTCTTTCTTGATTGCTGCGATATTCAACATTATTCTGTTTACAAGCTTGTATTTCCTCCTGATCTACATACGCTAAGCATATTTTACAAGAAAAGCAGGACTGGCAAGTGTCTTCTGGATCTTTCAGCCAAAGAATTCTTGTCATTCAGAAGGTATCATTGGGGAAAAAGGTTTTCATTTAGCCGTGCAAGATATAGAATCTTAACATTGTGTTGAAAATATGCATAGCCAGAAAATAATGAAAGATATTAGTTTAAGTTTATTGTAGATTTTTTCTCTATAACGAAGGGACAGGTAGAAAATACCTTGTTCTTAATTTACTGTTTGTTTTTTCATTTATGAAGAAATAGTAACCAAGGATTCAGGAAAGGATGAATAGTAACTTATGATTTTAAGGATGAAGGATAGTAACTAATTTTTGTTGTTGTTGAGAAGGGTAACTGCAATTTCATGACACTTTAAAAAATAGTTGCAGTGAATATGCTAACAGTTTACCATTTTCGTGTTTTCTTTTTCTCTTGTTTTCTTATACTGTCACATGCCTTTTTAAGATGAGAATGTGAATGTTACACTGTAGCCCATTAGGTATTTTGATTGAGATAGACTCTTTCTGTCCCAATCAGTGTTCTTTGATGCCGCTCATGTATTTAAATCAAAATGCTATATATGCTTTTATGTCTTATATTTAGTCAATTACAAAATCCTGCCAGGAATGTTTTTTTTTTTGGCCTTTGTCTGACTCATATACTTACTAGTTTTAGAATTGTCATTATTGCCTTCCTCAGAAATCAGCTTTAATCTCCTAGGACTGAAAGAATTAAGATTTGTTGGTCATGTGGAATTAACTGCCCCATTCCTCCCTGTGTGGGTTCCTGGGCCCTATTATATGGAGAAAAATATAGACCCACTGTCTACCCAAAAGCATGTCGTAAGTAACAGTCGACTTATTTGCAGCTTCCTTCGAAGTCAACACTCAGGTTCTGGAACAGGACTGCACTCCAAAAGTGGATGAACAACCAGAACTTTCCGCCCCATTCCAAAGGAAGTTTAGATCACAAAATTCAACCAAATGTGAAGTATAATAAAGAAGAATTACTAAGCAAGCCAGAATGAGAGGCTTATTTGTACAGAAATATTTTAAAATATTTTTGGTCTCCATGTTGGAGGTTACTTTTACTGCATCTACTTCTTAAAAAAAGTCCATGGAAACAAAACTGAGGAGGGGGGGGGGGTGGGAAGCAGATACAGACAGACCAAAGCCTAAGAGTATAAACAGACTAGGCAGCAATGCTCAGACCAAAATTTAACTCAGAGCACAGTTGCATCGAATGGGTCTTGCTAACTCTGCTGCTTGTGGTTGTGGCTTGCCAGAGCCAACTCCAGAGCATGCCTTATAGACCTCAAGAGTAGTGTCCTATTCATGATCCATATTGGGTCACTGAAAAAGAACTGCATCCACTGCTATCTTTGGGAATATTATATGATGATACTCTAGTCTCTTCTATGGTGTGACTCTTGTACAGCTATATGATATCCATGAAAACACATCTTTTTTTTCCTAATTACCCACTAGGTAATGGCAGTAAGGCATGGTGAGAATTGCAAAGTATGTTTACTAGCCTCTGAGCTACAGAGCTGATGACCTATATTGTACATTTATTTCAGTCCTAAACAAAACCTGAAACACTGCTGAATCCTCTCTCTTTAGCCTAATATGCTTTCTTACTATTTTTATTCAGTCATAACACACTCAAGATATCTGGATTGTCCAGTGCTCACTTTTACTGTTATATAGTGCTTTCGAAAGTAATACACTGATGCATTTTAATGAAGAATATTTCTTCATTGGTATTTCCTCTGAAACCTTTTTCTGGTCATAATTGAAGTGAAAGTTGTTTGTTAGTGTTAACTACATTAATTGTTAACCCTAGTTTATTTAAATGTATTTCTTTTAATCCATTAGGCAGTACATGAACAGAAGAGGAGGTTTCAATCGCCCACTGGATTTTGTAGCCTAACAGAGGATTAAGCTGGATTCCATCACTTTCCATTCAAGTGTCATTTCTGCTTGGTGCTTTTCATTGCAGAATGTTAGTTGAGTGATTCAGTATGTTAAGTCAGTCTATATGTCCATTGTGGGACAGAACTAGCTACTATGTTTTTACCTTTCCGGTTAAGAATTCATTTGTTTCCTTAATTTAACATTTTCAGATTGTTTGGAAGTTTTTTTAATTTTAAATTTAAAGTATGAAACAAGTGAATCAGAGATTTACATTACAACCTTTTATGAATCTCTTCCTCCTACCCCATCAACGTGATTAAAAAAGAGGGCAGAAAGAAAAATCTCAAGCATTATTATCAAGAACTTGAAGAAAAACTTATTTGTAAATCAAAGTATCAGATTACTTGAGAGAAACAGTAACTGGTATTTAACTGTCCAAATACTTGAAACATTAACTGGTATTTTACTGTCCAAATATCAGTGTGATAGTTGACACTGTTTTGTCTTGATAGTGTGTGATATGTGCATTTTTGGTCTAATGTTTGACAAGCGATAAGTTAAATTTATAATTAATTAAACTGAAAATTAAAAATATTAGTATCAAAGATTACTACAAATGTACCTAATTTCAAAATTACACGCCCCCCCCCCCCCCCAAAAAAAAAAAAAAACTACCAGGGTGTTGAAAACCACTAGACATTGTTGTTTGCAGTGGTGAGTTATTCTTTCTCATTTTACTGTTTTGGCATTGTGGCAGTTTTAATGGTAACAAATATACAGTGCTTATCTGTATACAGAAACCAGATCATGTTATGTCAAAATATGATTTTTCATATCTGTTTACTAAATAATTCTTCCCATTAACTATTTTTGTGCAAATTTTTTTCTTAAGATATCTAAATTTGACAGAGGGAACATGCTACTGTAGCCTTAGTCAATTCATGACTCAGAACAAAGCTGATTATTCTAACATGTAACGGTTACAGGTTATCGCCATACTACACTATGTGGCTCCTATAATATTTGTTGTTTGTTGATTACTGATTTAAGAATCATTATAGTACACTCGACCTACCCATTGATACTGTTTTCTGCAGCAAATGTCTTCAGGTTGAATATTGAATTAAGAATCAGCATCATAGCACTGGGGACTTCCCCTGTAACCACTCCGTCCCTATCTTCAGCAGCAAGCGAAGAGTTCCAATTCCAGTGGCACCAGTAACTGATAGTAAATCCATCTCACCTTTCCCCTGAGTGTTGAGCGCCGGCCAGATCCCCTTGTAAGTCCTCACGGTGTCATTCTCCCCAGACCATAATTATCTGTGCCTTTGCACTGTTCAATCGCTCCCAAAGAGCCCTCACAACATCCAGCTTGTCATACATCAGTTCATCACCAAGCGGTGCAGAACTGGCCAGTATATCTGCCTGCTCATTTCTCAACACACCAGCATAACCTGGAGAAAATATCCAAAGAATGCTGACTACCCGAAACCTCTGAAGTGATGCTTGCCACTGTGCCTGTTGTATGCCTGTCTCCACCTTTCTCAGCATGCTCTCGAATCAGTTTTAATCAGGGCATGTGTGTACAGCTGATTCTCAAGCCAGCGGAAAGTTTAGATGCTAACTGTTCCCGCAGCACACTGATTATACACACATCATTGTCTTTCTCTTCTTCTTCTGCGTTCGACATCAGTCATGCTAAACATTGAGTCCCGTCTGGGTCACAAAAAGGATTGTGCGTTTAAGGTCCCCCATAGCTTCTCTTTCAATGTGGCTCCCTTGGGCCAGATCCACAGTCTTTGCTGGGAGAGGTAATGGCAGTACTGTAGTGTGTGCCCAGGGGTCTGTCTTTCTGCTCCACAATCACAGGCAGCAGATTCTTTTATGCCTATCCTGTACGGGTGTGCTCAAAGACCACAGTGTCCAGTCCAAAGTCTAAAAATTGTTTGTTCTTTCCTGTTGAGTTTGTTTATGCTGTCACTCTCTGGTCTGTAATCTCCATTCTGCCTTCTCCACTCCCGCTTGAAAGACTGCTTTAGCGCTGTTTTGGTTTCCTTGTAGCTGTGTCGTGGATGAGGTTGTGGAAGATTACTCAAAGCTTTTGCCAACTCATCTGCTCTCATTTCCTTGAATACCACAGTGGGCTGGTATCCACTGCAAGACCAGTTCTGCTTCCTTGGAGAGTAAGCCAATGTTGGTCGTTAGATCTGCAATTAGTTTGTCTAGTTTTTTGCTTGATAGTGCTTGGAGAACAGACAATAAGTCACTAAGTATAACAATTTTGTGCCCTCTGTGTTCTTGATTGAAGAGATGTTGGACTACAGAAAGGAGGGCAGTTGCCTCAGCTCTGAAGTTAGTGCAGATGTTTCTTTCTCTTATATCCCCTCCTTGTCTGATCCAGACCTAAATCCATGTTCACAGATTCTAAACACATGTTCTTTAATCTAACCTCATGTCTTCTGTCAGCATAAATATTCTTCAGAATGTCTCCTTTGTCAAAATGTGTATGTTCCCATAGTTACCGCTTTTGCAGCTGAAAAATCTTTTTCCTTTCCCTGCCAGCTGTGACCACCCACACCTCCAATCTCAAACAAGATATTGTGGTATTATTTACTGCACACAAGCTTCTGTAATTCATGCTGTGTGGTGAGTTTATCATATAATAATCACACGTCAATTTGTAGCGCCTGTAAAGTATGTTGTGTGGTGCGAAGACTAAGGATGTAACAGCCAGCTGTGACCACCCACACCTCCAATTTCAAACAAGATATTGTGGTATTATTTACTGCACACAAGCTTCTGTAATTCATGCTGTGTGGTGAGTTTATCATATAATAATCACACGTCAATTTGTAGCGCCTGTAAAGTATGTTGTGTGGTGCGAAGACTAAGGATGTAACATGTTAACAAGTTTACTTCAGTGATCGACTGAGATGTAGACGGTGAGCAAGTACCTTATGTGCTGTGAGAATGCTGATCATCTCACCCATCTGTCTCTATTTGGGCTGACCTGAGCACCTGTGGCTTTGCCTGAAGTGCAGTGGTCAATACATATTCTTTTGCCTGTTAACTTTACTTGTGCTCGTTTTGCAACATTGTTTTGTTGGTTTTGCAAATACACTTCAATAAACATTTGGAAAAAAATTGGCTTTGTTAATGTTGTTATAGTTAGAAGCAATATAGTTAATGGCAGTATAGTTTTTGAGTCTTTAGTAGTCATAATTTTATCTCATGAATTTAGGTTAAACCCAATACATTTTTGGTGCGAGTTCAACGGAAATAAGTGAAACTGATGATTCAGATACAGAGTTTTATAAAAAGTCAGTCTGTAGAGGACATGAAGATTATCGATGAAATGATGAAAAAATATACAGTGCATAGTTTTGTAGTTAGTCATTGCACACAGAATGCAGTTTGACCACCACAGAATGCAGATGGAAAGATATTAGATGACATGAAGAATATCATACCTGGTGGCAGAATGAAATGAAGAAATGCAGAGGTCAACGCTTTCATCGGTGAAAAGAAGCAGATGCACTAGTATACAGACGGATGTTAGCCAAAGAAGAAGCGCATGGGGCATTTACAGCACGCTCAGCATGACGATGGAGGTGATGGCAGTGACGCAAGCGTTTGCCTGGCTTGAAACACAAAAATACACCCGCATATGTAACTCAGTGATTCAATGAGTATGATCAGGGTTCAGATGCGAAGACAATGGCTTGAATCAATTCAGAAGTCCACTGTGCGAGGAGTCAGATGGAAATGAAAGAGCTGACAGGTTGGCTGGAGAGCTTATTTGTTATTATCATGCCATGGGAAATAGACAGTTTCAAAAAACTTGGGAATTAAGATCGTCACACAAAGCACAAAATCCCTAGCTTCAGTGATGATCCCCAGAGGTCTCTTAGAAAACTGCACTCGTGAAAAGAATGATAGACCATGGAATTAGCCCACCACCTTCAGATCACGAGGCAAGTTTGAATATTTTGCTATGTACAAATTGTCTGATGGCATACAATGCACTTTCCAGCCCAAGGCATCTCCTGTGACCTCAGAACACAGTGAAAGTAAAATCCCACAGGTCCACTTGGTGAAGGATGGTGAACACACTGCAGTGTTGTGGGTATGGGACTGTAAAAAGTCAAGGATCTTTTCCATTCCTGTAGGTATATAGGGTTAGACCTTCAGCATCACTTCCAGTGAACGCTAAGTGCTCTTCGTATTCAAGCATCACTTTAACTGGTTATATCCCTTTGTTGCTTATGATGAACATGTCCAAATAACACTGTAAAGTAAAATGAGTGGAAGTAACAATGATAGAATTAACCAATCCACTGGAGGGACTTATACCAGCGTATACACAGTCACTGTGGTGTTGTGGCTAGTCGCTTGTCTGATGGTTAGAATATCATAGGTTCAAATTTGCATCATTGAGTTTTCTTTCTTTAAAATGACGCTCCCCACCACCACAGGTCAAACCAACCTAAAATGGGTAACAGGTACAAACTCCTGAAGTCCAGGAGGGAACAGTTGAAGGCAATGTTCCCTCATGAGATTTGGGGCTGCATTGTTGGGGTAAGGGCTGGTGGACTTCCCCGCCCCATTGTTACCCTGTATTAGCACTGGTTCCTGTGGTTTCCACAGACAATCATAGAAATCTTAGACGGTGGGAATAAATGTTTGTGGGGAAAAAAAGGGGAGGGTCTATGATTGCAGCATTGCTGGAGAATCACAATGATGTAAAAAGGAGTAGATTCTCTAGCAGTTTTTACTGAATATGGATGGTATGTGATAACCAATCGTTTACCGTCGATTTCGGGGAAAAAAAAATTGGGAGAAGACTACATCAGAAACCAGTCATAGGTAACAGTCGAGAAAGCCCTGGTACCATCTGCCACATATTTACACTGAAGAAATGTATTGAATACAAAGACCAGGCAAATTATCAAATGACTGCATTAAGGATGAAACGTAAAGAAATGAACACCAACCTATACAGCCTAAGAGAATAAAAATAAGATCCTAATTACACCCCCCACCCCCGCCTTCCAAAAAAAAAAAAAAAAAAAACTTCAAATTGGTAACTGGTGGAAGCAGAGTGAAGATTTATTTTTTTAGAGAAAAAGAAAATTAAAAGTTCGACCGCTTTCAGACTGCTGCTAGCTAGTAAATAGATCTTAAACTTCGACTTTTATTTGTGTTACGAATGTCAGGAGTAACGATCAAGTTCAAATCTATTTCTTAGTACAAGAGAGTGTCAACAAACAACACCCTCTGTCAGCTCGGAGGTTTGTGTGTGCCATCGCCCAGTTGTTCTCTCATATAACAAACGTTATGTGGGGGAATTAACACACTTGTGAAACTTCTTAGATAAATTATAAAAGGTTGAAGTTATCAGTCAGGATAGTATCTTTTTGTCTCCCTTTCTATGGGTACGGGAAAGACGTCACAGTCTCAGTCACAAACACATTGTAACACAGGGCTTGTTTTTTTGTCTCTTCAGAGTTTGTGCCTAAGCCTCGACTTCCCAACCATTTAAACGAAGTTTGCTTCATCCGTCGACGACTGTGGCTTAGGCGTTGCGAACGCGCTTTGGAATGCTGGGGTGCCGGGTTCGATGCCAGCTGCAGCTGATTTGGCAGCAGACCGTCTTATCTTTCTTTGGTTCTGACAGTGAAGTGGTATAAATCGAATGTCGACCGTTCAGTAAGCAGCGGCAAACAACTGAATGTAAATTTGCCTAGAAAAACCACAACGGCCAAAAATAATGTCGGGCGTGGTTCTGCATCGTCCTGTAAAGGATACACAGCTAACTTGCTTCATCTAAACATATATTGTGTTAACTATTAGGCTCTGTCTGCCTGCAGACAGGGCTGTATTAATAATTAACCCATGGGCCAGCGGGGCACTTGCCTGTGGGCCCCATGAGTATAGGAGCCCACGCTAATCTGTGTATGTGACTTGCTCTTGATTAAAATATTTTTGACTTTCAAGTTAATTTAGTGTAATATGAAACCAAAATATATCCCCCCTCCCTCCCCCCAATATGAACATTGCTTAATGTTCATCCTCATCTTTTTTCGTGGAGCAAAGAATCTAACAGACATTATTGTTGATTTTCTTAATGAGAACAAAATGCAACTATCAGGCATATACCAAATCCAGCATCCCACATTGTGCCATTTGCTTCAAGCAGAGGAGCACATTAGGGAGGAAATGCAACCTTGGCTGGCAGCTAGTCTAGGAGGAAAGCTCTGAGAGGCAGACAGACATAGCACTGCTCTGGCTGCTTGTGCACTGTGCTTTGTGGCTCTCCTGTCAAATCCGGACGAAGAATAAAAAGCCCTGCACGACTTAGTCAGAGTTCTCTCCCTTGGCCGCACTGCAAACAGTGATCGGAAAAGCCAACGAAACAAACGACACAAGCAATATGGCAATTAGACGCACTCACATAACTAACATCGTTCTTGTGACGCACGACTTAGTTGCCACGGACGTAACTCCACTATCTGCACGAGGTAGTAGTCCACCAGACCAACTTCGTCAACGCTGTACACAGTCACATACACACACAAACAATTGAGGGCCTCTGGATGCTGGTCAAACGCACAATTCGCCAACGATTGGGCACCAGCCGCACACTATTGGCGTCATATTTAGCAGAATTTCAGTGGCGCCACGCCCACAAACATCAGATTGTCGGCCAGTATTTCGAAACCCTACGTCAAAATTTTCACATCTAACCCTAACCCTACCCCTAACTCTAACCCAACAACCGCATGATGACTACACAACCATTCACGATGCCTCACGCAACCGTACGCAGCCCTACACGCAACCGTATGATGATAGGTAAGTGTGTCGTTTGTTTCGTTGGCTTTTCCGATCACTGTTTGCAGTGCGGCCAAGGGAGAGAACTCTAAGTCGTCCAAGGCTTTTTATTCTTCGTCCGGATTTGACAGGAGTACCGTGCTTTGTTTCAGATATATTGGTGTTACCTTTTCTTTGATGAAAACATGGCAGGTCGAATGAGGGATCAGGATGCATGAGCAAAACATTATCTCTGCAGTACTGCCCAGGCTTTATGCTATGGAGTGGAGTAACTTCCCCATGCCTTCCCAAAGCACAGTATAACATTATCCTCCGAAAGGATGGAAAGTTGCTAACAAAACAACAGCCTTGCAATTTTGCAATTTAATAAGACTATTTTCCATATTCTCATTGCACTTGGTGTATGGTCTGATGCTAGCCCCTTATATTATAGACCAGTCTGCACTCAACGAGAGATATACTCAATAACTTCCCATTTGCTTTTATTCCCCATCTCATCTTCTTCTTCTTAGAGTGACTTGGCTTAAACTACAGCAGAAAATTTGGTTTTGATTGTTTATCAACTTCCAGGACTTCAGTTTTGCATGCACTATCGTTTTACAGGTCTGGATTATCTGTATGCAGACTGTTGGCTCCTTACCTCTCAGGCAGATGCACTACAACTTTGAAGGAAACACTCCTACTTAGTTGCCTTTTATGACATGCTTGGTTTAGAGACAGTGGGTCTGTTTCCTCCCCCCTCCCCCCTCCAGAATGGGGCCCTGGAACCCACATGGGGAAATTCCCCATAACTTTACCTGGCCCTTACTTTTGGCTGAGCCAGCCTTTGAATCAAGGAACAGTTTTTGGATGTGGTAATCTAGGATTCCAGGAAACATTCTTGAAAATAAAGTTAGTTGGCATGGTTACTGGTTAGTTGCGTATCCTTTACCAGACGTTGCAGAACCAACCCCAGCAGCCCCTGGCTGTTGTGTAGTTTTTCTAGGCAAATTTACGTCCAGTAGTTTGCCATTGCTTTCTGAACGGTCGGCTTTCTTGATAACACTGTCCAAACCAACGCTAGGCGCATGGCCCGCAGCTGGGATCGAACCCGGCATCCCGGCATTACGAAGTGTTCGCATCGACTTAGCCACAGAGCTGACAGCTGGCATGATATTTAGCAAAAAGTAATTGAAAGAACCATTTTCATGTGCCGGCCACATTTACTTCCCATATTTTTTCTAGTACCAATTTTAGCATGGGTTGACCTCAGAGCCAAAGTCAGTTTTGTCTAAAGCTGCTCAGTGTGGATTCAAACCCCAAATCTTCAGGTCAGCAGGCAAGCATCTTGCCACTATGCTACTCCCAAAATTTACAATAATTTTCATCATGTCAATCTTTAAATAAACATATAAGCCAAACACCATCAACCAAATACATCCCCTTCAATAAATATCACACAAAGTGATACTAAATGTTTTATTTGCAATTTCTAGAATGGATCTTCAGGAGTTAAACAAGCTTCAGAAGATCCAGTTGGCTCATATTCTTGTCTCAGTAAGTTTTAGCTTATTTATGATTTAGTTGTAAGTAAGAAATATTGAAAAAGTAATGGCAAACTAATGAATGTTAGGAAAAGACAAATATCTTTACTTGTGGAATTCTGTCTACATCACCTGGAGACTCCCTGCAATCTTCTATCGATCAGTGGGCTCTTGAGAAAGGTGTCTAGGTGTCAATGAATATAGGTTCCAAAGTTCTTGACGATGGAGAGAGTAAAGTCAATAAATACAGGAGGTTTCTATAAATGGAGCGCCGATGCATGACATTCTGGCCCTGGGCTTATCCAAGGAATCATCACGTCCTGTATATGACTGATTAACCTCACATCCATATGTTTAGCTTCTCCCTCATCATGCGCCACAACCCTTGGAGATCAACAGGAAGCAGCCCACATATCAGTTGATAAGTGATTGGGAAATAAAAATTTAGGCCCAGCAATGTTTACCTGGTTAAAGAGGCGAAACAATACAAAATACCAGCCTCCCCCCCCCCCCCCCCCCCCCACCCCCACCCCCCACCCCCCTTTCAACAAAAAAAAAAAAAAAAGGATGTGAGGATTTTTAACTAACATGACAGATTATATATTTTTGCGCTGTTCATTATGGTAGACAGGCGTCAAGATTTGACTAGACTGATTTATATTCCAACTTTTATGTTAACAGATTTCAGAGTCTAAAGATCTTGTTTTGGATGCAGATCTAACAAAACCTCTGGACAGAATAGCAGGAGTTTCTTTCCTTAAGGTTAGTTATTAATTTCTAACAACATGATGTCAAGACTGAAAATTATACAGGTATTTTGACTGTCAAAAAAAAAAATCCTCTTCTTCTTCTTCACATTCACCAGCTGTAAACCCTGGCAGAAAGTTCTGGTTGTCCATCCACTTTAGGACTTCAGTCCTGTTCCATAACCTGAGTATTGCATGTACATCTGTTTTACAGATTTGACTCATTTATGTGCAGACTGCTGGTTCCTTGCCTCTCAGGCAGATGCACGCGACTTTGAAGGAAGCTCCCAATTAATCGACTCTTACGACATGCTTTTGAGTTTCGTATGCTCAGATCAGACCATCAGGTGGGTTGCCTCTATGAACTCGCATGTCAGCTGCAGGTCCTGCATGGTTCCCCAAAGCTTGCTCTGCACACTTTGCTCTTGAGGCCAGGTGTCTTTTCGAAGTAGCAGGTAGAGTGGGCAGGTCTGCAGAATGGGCTGAAATGTTTGGGGTCCTGTTTGACAGGCACACTGGGGGGAACTGTACAATCTTTATTTTATGCATGTGGTAGTTGAGCCTGCAGTGTCCTGTTTGTAGACGGAAAATTGTAGTATGTTGCTTTCTGTTGAGTCTGCTGATGGGGTCTTGTGGATATTTACTGTTAGTTTGTTCTCTCCACAATCCCTTGTATTTTCCTTTAAAAATTGTTCTGATTTCTGGTAATGAAAATGAATGGGCATGTTGTTTCTCCTTTGTTCCATTTTTTGCAAGTCTGTCTGCTAACTCATTTTCTGGTATGCCGCAGTGAGCCGGGATCCACTGGAGAATGATTTGATTGTTTTCTGTGAGTCTGTTTAGCTGACGGGTGAGTTCTCTTTCCATGTTGTCTCATGGATCCCTATGAGTCGCCTGGAGGACTGACATGCAGTCACAAAGGAAAACAATTTTGCTGTTATTAATTTTTCTTTCCTCTAGCACTTTGGCTGAATAAATAATTGCTTGCTGCTCTGCTCTGAAGTTTGTTGAGAGTCTTCAGGAGTGCATGACGTTTTTACTGTGGTCCCATCTTGCAGCATGATGATCCAGCTCCTCCATTTTTGTCTGCTCCCTCCAATGATCCATCGGTGTATACGTGTGTCCATTTGGGTTTTGGATAACAGTTGTAGACATGTTCAAGGGTCTTTGCACGACATTCCTCTTCTCTATCGCATTGTTTACCTTGAGGGTGCACTGGAAGCCAGCTGACATTTTGTTTTCACCTACACTGGTGTGGTTTTTTTTTTTACAGCTTACAGCTCCCCTCTTTCCTCCATTGCCTGCCTTCTCATCACATGACCAAAGAGCATTGTTTATCTCTCTGTCTTATTCACCTTCTGCTCGACTTATGACCTGTGTGACTTCTTCTTCTTATTGTTTACCAGCTGTGAACTCTGGTGGAAAGTTCTGGATGTTCATCCACTTTTGGACTTTGGTCCTGTTCTAGAACCTGAGTGTTGGTTCCTCGCCTCTCAGGTAGATGCACTCCGACTTCGAAGGAAGCTCTCAGTCAGTCGACTCTTATGACATGCTTTTGGGTAGGTGTTACGTGCGATCTGTCCCATGCTTGCCAAGTGCCTAGGGGATTGTTTAGGCTTGGCCATATATACACAAAGTTCTTAACAACCTACTACAAACACTAGAACCACAATGTCAACACCGATACATTAGAAGTCATCTCTGTAATAGTACATTAGTTTCTTTATTATGGTCGAAACACGTTAGGACGCAAAATGGTTTCACAAACCTGTTTGTTACAAAAGACATTACAGCAAATGCTATGAGTGGTGATTGATGACTCACTGTCAAGTCTTCTGCTACCTTCTCAAATATTCACATTGGCAGTCTTTCCAGACATGGAAAAAAATCCCAGCAAACTATGTCTCAGGTGCCTGCTTCGGGCAACTGACACCTGCTATGGGCAACTGACACCCGACCGCGACTTGCAGATACACCTTGTGATGTACAGTGACCACCCCCTGATGGCTGCCCCTCCACCGGACCCATCAATCTGAGGGTTTATGGTAGATGCACCATGCAATGAAAAATAAAGCCAAAAAGAAATACAGACTGAGGTCTGCTACCTAGTCACTGAAGCATCGCTGACTATCATTCTGTCAATCAGCCTCCAATACTTTTCTGACATCACACTCCAGGTTTGTTAACAAGGTTCCCGGCACCATCTGTGCCCTTACAGATCCCCTTGTCAACTATATGTCCATAGCTGCAACACTACCGACCCCACAAACACATGGGCAGCACAACCGTCCATTCTGGAAATTACACAGACAGAATTCCTAAGTCTACCTCACAATCAACCAAACCCATTAGACAGTTCACGTGAGCTCCAACAAAATAAAGACATCCTGTTAAAACACACTGGACGGGAACAACTCATGCATAAACACGTCCTTACACTAAGACTGAGCGGCACTGATGGCACTCACTGAAACTACCACAGGACTTTTCACCCCCGTAGTCAGCCACACATGGATCCTGTTTTCTCACCAACACTCAGGATTCATGACCCTCGTGCTATCGACCCACACGGATCACACAATATACATGATGTCCCCAAGTTCATCATAAACTTGGAGTGACACATATTTTCCCCAGCGACTCAAGATTCTCTGCCTTCCCATGACCCCCAAATGTTTACATTCTCAGCCTGTCAACACACAGCCCTGGCTTCATTAACTCTTTATACACTTGAATAGCAAAGTGAGTTTAGCACACGACAGTAAGCTGTGTGACTATTCTTGTTTTCCCTACAGTGGGGCCCTAGAACCCACAATGGGGCCCCAGAACCCACAAGGGGGACCTATGTGACTTATGACCATCCACATTTACAAACAATTAATAAATAAATATATTTAAAAACAAACATTGATAGCTTTAAAAAATGTCTTGCACTGATACCAACAGCATAGCAGGGTCTAGCCATCAACCTTACAGCCTATGGCAGACTTCTGTAACTGCAGGCCTAACACTACCTGACGCTAGGGTTTATAATTATATCTGAAATATTGACTTCTAAAATGATGCCTCAGCTGATAAGTCAAAGAAGGCTACTGATGTAAAGTGTAGGTTATTTGGCAATATGAATGTGGAAAGAAGGTTAATACACTAACACATGTCTAGAAGTTATCACATTCAAAGCATTTGAATGAAAATATTGTTGTAAAATATAAATTCGACTTACAACCTGTTAGTCAGAACGGAACTCAGACATAAACAGAGGGGAACCCTGTAGTTGCATTTCATTTTTTTTATATAGTTTTTTTCCAGATAATCATATTTTGTGACACTTGTTGTCCAATCTAGTTCAAACATTCCTCTCAGAAATTAGCTAAGGATTTGCTGAAATCTGATGATATGTTGGGCTGAAGGGTGCATGTATCGCAGCCTAGCTGTAAACCACAGTACAACGTGCCATCAGCTATTTTAAGGGCCAGCATAGAAGAAAGAACTCAGATGTCCCTTTATGCTGTGATGTTAAACTCTCTAATATTTCTCTAGTTCTCCTTCTTGTACTTTTTTTTTTTTTTTTTACATTAGTTGCATACCCTTTATATGACTGCAACCATGTTCTTCCTAATTTGTTTGCTCACATACCAAGATTCACTGCCGTATGTATTTGACATTACATTTCCTTACTCTCTTTTCTGACTTATTCGTAGAATATTTTTATTTTTCTGAACTGCATCTTTTTTCTGTCTAAATGTCTTGAAAAATGTGATTTAAAAAACACCAAAGTACATTGTTTCCTGCTTAACTAAGACTGTATAAACTAAGGGGATTAATGGTTATTCATTTTATAACTGTTTTATTTCATCTTGATTCAAAGGAACATGGAGTTGATAAAATATTTAAACTGGAGCCCAGTCAAAAGTCCCTGCCAGGATGTGGTAGGTAAGTTGAATTATGGAGTGGTAGTTCACATTGTTATTGGGGAGGATCTATTTGTGTTTGGCAAGTTTGGCAACGCATGTTGGCACCAGAACCAGAGTTCATGCTGGTCAAGATCTGTTGACACCTCTCTGTGGTCATCCTAGAAATAGGTTTCCAACTGTGAGCCTAGCCAGTGTAGGTAGGATTAACATTTCCTTTGTTTGAAATCTGAGTGCATCTTCCTAAGAGGCAAGGAGCCAAAGTCTACACTCAGATAAGCAAAACAGATGTGCATGTAACACTCACATCCTGGGAAAAGATTGAATTCTAGAAGTAGACATACAATCATTACTTTGTCCAGGAGTTTACAGCCAATGAATGCAAAGAAGAAGAAGACTTCTGTATTAGATGCAGTAATTGTTAACTCACGCTTTGGTTAAGTATGCAATTATTACTGATTACTGTTATTCTTACAGACGTATTTATTTGGTCCGTCCACGGATGGTGACAATGAAGTATATTGCTGACCACATCAACAATGAATTAGCAAAGGGAGAGAAGAGATCATACAAAATTGTTTTAGTGCCACGAAAGGTAAACATTTTGACTTTTGAATGTTTAAGATGTTTAAGCTACATACTATTTTTGTATGTTTGAAGTGAAATAAATATTTATATTAAATATGTCACCATGGCAACAGTTTAAAAAGAAAAAAAGGTTAAGTACGCTTGGACATTCCAGAACAGCTTAAACAGGTCACTAATCCATTTTAAAACAGTGTAGTTATATATATATATCTCTATATATCATTTAAAGATTTGATGAATTGAGTGAATTAATAAATAGTCATCGCCTTGTGGGATGCAATTTTTCGTTATTTTGAAGCCCCACCCTGCCTCTTGCCAGGTGCCGCAATATAGCCCGACCATAAATATGGCCTAATGGCTGAACGTGGTTTCTGGTACCTCTCCACGGGTGATCCTCATCCACATGGTGGCACTTTGTGTCATTGGGTGTTTATCGCTTGTTTGATGTCCTAGTGGGTTAAAATGTACTTCTACTACTAAACAGAGTGAAGTAAAGATTTCACGGATTACAATTTCTGGGGCCTAAATAACAGTATGTATCAGGCGACTGATATCATAACCTCTATCTATGAGGCTTCAGGAAGTTTATGACGTCAGCTGTAATTGACCATGCTGGTCAAGCGTCCTAATACAATTGTTTATTATTGAAAATAGAGCTGACAGTTCCTTTCTGCTTCCTTACAAGATGTTTCGTGTTTTGCATTCAGTACTGTAATGGAGGTGCTTTATAGTGAGAATGAGTACACAGGCCATGATCTTCTTGGCATTCACTGCTGGCTTGTTGCAATAACTATGTTACATTTTGCACATCTTATTGTTTCTTTGAGCAGTATTTAATTCACTACATCAAAAGACAACAGATCAAATGGTTCAGACATGTGTCAAGACTACCACCAGATAGTGCATCATAGAGAGCTTTGTCACTCAGATAAAATGCTAGCAGAACTAGAGGTTGACCATGCAATTTATGGATAAATGGAAAATCTGAGGCCATAAATGTCAGCATATACCAATCCTTGCACTCATTGCCTCTTCAAAACAGGACTAGAAGAAAAAGAAGATGCAGCAGGCTTAGGATTAAGTTAAACCTCAAGATGATTGACTTCATTACTTTCTCTCTCTGCAGAACCGCTAATTGCCTGCTGAGAACATAGCACAAAGCACAAATTCAGTAGCTCCAGTGACGATCCCCAGGGATTTCTATAAAAACTGCACTCATGAACAAACAACACAACCAAGAAATGAACTCACAATCCCTAGATTCTGCTGTTTTGTTTTACTAGGCAGTTTACATTCAGTTGTTTGCCATTGCTTGATGAATGGCCAGTCTTGATACTATTGCCAAAATCAACACTGAGCACTCTGATGCATAATTACCCCTCTCCCCCCAGCTGGAATCAAACCAGGTATCTTAGAATTATGAAGCATGTTCTCAACTCTTGAGCCACAGACGCTGACAGATTATCTGTAAACAGATACTAGCTGAAGATACAGTTTAATGTAATAAAATATGTTACAGTGCTTAGATATATCGTTATATCTGTATGTGGCAAGATGATTGTTTGAGAGGAACATACAACATGTTTACAACCAGTATACTGCTGGATCATCTTCACTGTGAAGTCGTATTGGCACATGCCCTTGCCAGGACATTACTGTTGGCATAGAGAGGGGTTAGCTGCTGCCTGAGCAGCAGCCTGTGTTTCCAGTTCAACATCTGCAGGCCTGTGCCCTGGAGAGGTTACTCCAGCGTTGCTTAACATTTTTGACACAACACGGGAAGCAGCTACCGGTTATGTAGACTATGTGGCAGAGGTAGCTGCTCTCAGATCGGACTTTAAATTTATAGAAGATGCTGTTTCCAAAACCAATGGCACATCTCCATTGTCCCGAGGGACTGATAGTTACCTACACTACTGGAAGAAATTAGATTCTATGTTCTAGGAAATTTGCTACAGCCGAGGATTTTTCATTATCCCTAGAATTTTTTCAGAGCCTCTGTGTTGTAGTGGCTAGAGGTTGCCTGTGGATCTGAAGGGGGTGGGTTCAATTCCTGACAGAGCTGGACATTTTTCAAAAATAACCAGGTCGAACCCAGCCTTAAATGGGCGCCAGTTAAAGTCCTGGGAAGTAAAGGAAGTAAAGTGTGATATCAACCACATAACCCACAGAGTGCCGATTGGTCTATTAACTTTAGGTCTAGCCTTCCCCGTGTGGGTTCCGGGGCCCTATTGTGGGGGAAAACAAGAATAGACCCACTGCCTACCCAAAAGCATGTCGTAAGAGTCGACTAACTGGGAAGCTTCCTTTGAAGTCGGAGTGCATCTGCCTGAGAGGCAAGGAACCAGCAGACTGCATTCAATTGAATCAGATCTGTAAAACTGATGCACACGCAACACTCAGGTTCTGGAGCAGGACTGCAGCCCAGAAGTGGACGAACAACCAGAACTTTACGCCAGAGTTTACAGCTGGTGAACGCGAAGAAGAAGAAGAAGGTCTAGCCTTATATGCCCAGTATCCTTGAAGGTGTGGAAAAGGGTCCTTTACTTACTTTTACTAGTATGTTGTGATATGAATTACTTACTTTTACTAGTATGTTGTGATATGAATTACTTACTTTTACTAGTATGTTGTGATATGAATTACTTACTTTTACTAGTATGTTGTGATATGAATTACTTACTTTTACTAGTATGTTGTGATATGAATTACTTACTTTTACTAGTATGTTGTGATATGAATTACTTTTTTTTACTAGTATGTTGTGATATGAATTACTTACTTTTACTAGTATGTTGTGATATGAATTACTTACTTTTACTAGTATGTTGTGATATGAATTCTTTAAAATCACATCCTTTTATTCACCAGTGTCTCATTATTTGAAATTAATTTGTTTTACAAATTTTTTTGCTTACATTTTTCAGCTTCATGTGTGTCAGATGATCTTGGAAAGTGAGGGAGTTTTTGGACATGTTACCATCGATGAATTCCCTCTGGAATTGTTTACTCTTGACTCAGATATCTTGTCTTTGGAGTTACCAGAAGTTTTTACATCATTTTATCTGGTGGGTGTATCATCATCATCAACATCATTTTCATTATTAGCAACAATATTGTTGTCATCATCAGCATCACTGTTGTCATCATCATTATCATCTTTGCCATTTTTAATTATCATCATCCTCTTGAATATCATTGTCGTCAAATCCATTTGTTCTTTAAGCATTGGTATGTGTCCTGTCAACCATTTTGAAATAATAAAGCAGATAGGCTTGGCAAGAAATGAAAATGAAAATTTAAAGAGAAGATAAAGGTACTTATGATGTAATCAAAAATCACATTTAAAGAGAAGATAAAGGTACTTATGATGTAATCAAAAATCACATTTAAAGAAAAAGAGATAAGAAATGCCTACCTGCTGACACATTTCAACCATATAAGATAGAAATAGGTGGCTTTTATGAGTGGATTTGGAAAACTTCACATAAAAACTTGCATAGCACCAATTACCATTCAAGTGAAGTCTTACATTGCAAAATTCAAGTTCATTTTAACATTTAGGTGAAGTCTTACATTGCAAAATTCAAGTTCATTTTACTATTCGTGTGAAGTCTTACATTGCAGAATTCAAGTTCATTTTACCATTCATGTGAAGTCTCACATTGGAGAATTCAAGTTCATTTTACTATTCATGTGAAGTCTTACATTGCAGAATTCAAGTTCATTTTACTATTCGTGTGAAGTTTTACATTGCAGATTTCAAGTTCATTTTACCATTCGTGTGAAGTCTTACATTGCAGAATTCAAGTTCATTTTACCATTCATGTGAAGTCTTACATTGTAGAATTCAAGTTCATTTTACTATTCGTGTGAAGTTTTACATTGCAGATTTCAAGTTCATTTTACCATTTGTGTGAAGTCTTACATTGCAGAATTCAAGTTCATTTTACCAATTGTGTGAAGTCTTACATTGCAGAATTCAAGTTCATTTTACTAATCATGCGAAATCTTACATTGCAGAATTCAAGTTCATTTTACCATTCATGTGAAGTCTTACATTGCAGAATTCACTCTTTGTGTCAGGAACGAAAAAGAGAAAATTATATCTGTAGTTTCCCGAATTGTTTAGAAACTCTGTGGTGTGTTATGTTATCACAATCAACATCGCTGCATGTGGGGCATTCCCGTTTGTGCTGTCCTCCAATGCAGCAACCACTTCAAGGTACCTCTACTGATTGTTCCCATGAGGAGTTGGTTAAAGTGTCTCCTGTTTTGGCCTCGAAGACAGCATAGACATGCTTCAACAGGCTTTACTCCCAGGTTGTGCGGCCATTTTTGAATCAGAGATTAAACACTATCATCAGCCTAGTTCGTACAGTTTTGATAATGTCGGCTCTGTCCATGATACTTCTGTTTACATTGGTGCATTACTTGTCAGCTGGTCGGCTCGTTCATGACTTTTTACTTCAGCATGCCCAGGTGTGTAAATCCAGGTGACGGAGATAATTGTGATTTCGAGGGGGGGGGGGGGGGGGTAATTGTCTTTTGCAACCAGTTTTAGCTAAGCTCACAACATATAGACTAATATTTGAACCTCATCTTATATGAAGGTTGTCATGTTCATTAGTAAATTTGCTAACTCACATTTTATGTGATCATTGAGATTGCCAGCTGCTGTTGTTTTAAACATGTTTTCTTGTGCCTGTCTTACCTGGCAGGATGATGATACAACCTGGCTGCAAACAGTTGCTTCTTCATTGGTCAGCTTACAGAGACTCTTTGGGAAGATACCTAATGTTTATGCAATAGGCAAAGGTTCCAAGGTACAGGCATCACACATGAAAATTAAAATTATAAACACTTTGTTTAACACATTCATGAAGAAGAAGAAGAAGTTAGTTTACCAGAGTAAACAAATACAGGTAATCCTAGACAGTTGGTGGTTGGCTGGTGAATTCTCTAGTAGACTGTTTAATTTTACTTGTGAAGGTCTTCACATATTCTAGAAGGATTTTCGTCCGTGGCTGGTGAATTCTCTAGTAGACTGCTTAATTTTACTTGTGAAGGTCTTCACATATTCTAGAAGGATTTTTGTCCGTGGCTGGTGAACTGGATAGCAGCTGTCATGCATTCACGTGTGGTGCCATTCAGCTGGGTACATGTACCTCAGAATCATGTAATATCGCCCTGGGACTATCCCAGGGTTCTGTAATTTTACTGGTGCTCTTCAATGTGTATAAAAGCAAGATTGCAGAACTTGAAGCACCAAGTGTTAGAAGGATATTTACATTTGCAGAGGATGTTCTTGCATATAGGCAGGGGAGTAATAGGCAACGGATAGCCCAAGAGCTGTAGACAAAGAAACTGACTGGTGTGCAGAGATGGGTGCTGTCATCAACTCAGAAAAGGCAGCTGTTTTGTGGTACTGTCTGGACAATAGAATTGTAAGAGCTTATGTTCCAAGCCTCACTGTTATTAACAGTAACATTAAAAGAGAAAGCAAACTTTCGATAGAAGCCTGTCCTATAGGGATCATGTAGAGGCAGTTGCGGTAAAATGCCAAAAAGGACTCAGTGCTTTCAACATTATGGCAGCAATGGACATGGAACAAAGAATGCTGTTCACAGTGTTCCAGCATGTGATCCTGTTGGTAATAGACTATGGACTTGGGATGATTACCATATTAAGGAGAAAGCTAATGAAACTTGAATGCATACAGAATGAAGCCATGTGGGTTAACACTTCGGAGGGCTACCGTTTGCTTTTAATGCATGTGTATGCTAGTGCATATACTGAGACAGCAGTCTGTCAATCTTTCCACAAGGGACTGTGATAAATAAAAATTCTTTGTGTTTTTTGTTGGCACAGGAGCGGAGCAACTATGGGGTGACCCGTTTGCTATGAAGCTGAAACTAAGATTATTAGATTACATGCTATGTAGCTGTTTGTTTTACTGCCGCGTATATTCCATCTATCCACTGCTTGCTTGGTGGACTTCTAGATCTGCTTCCATTATGTTTAAGTGAAGTTCTCTCTACTATGCACAACTATCTAATGGTAGGTCAGCTCTGTGGCTAAGTCTGTGGAACGCTTCGTAATGCCGGGATGCCGGGTTCGATCCCAGGTGCGGGTCATGCGCCTTGCGTTGGTTTCGACAGTGGTATCAAGAAAGCCGACCGTCCAGAAAGCAATGGCAAACGACTGGACGTAAATTTGCCTAGAAAAACTACACAACAGCCAGGGGCTGTTGGGGTTGGTTCTGCAACGTCCTGTAAAGGATGCGCAACTAACCTATCTGATGGTAGTCTTGACACATGTCCAGACTATTTGGTCAGTTGTCTCTTGATTTAGCTTAGTAGTGATCCGTCCCATCTTCTTTCCTGATACTGTCATTTCTGTCCTGTCTCTTCTATGTATATTTATGATTCGCCATAGACATTCCATCTTAACTTGTTGGAAAAGATCCTCCTGCTTCTGGGGACTAAGTCTGGACCACTGCCTCAGTAGGCAAACGCACTAACTATAATGAAACAGTGACATAAAGCATTGATATATTACTTTTCAGATTTTGCTATAAGCATATTATGGAATTTCTGCCTAGCTATTATGGTATGTGAGGTACTGAGCGCGCTGATAGATTGGGTGCCGCCAAATCTCTGGGCAATGAGGTTTATGATAAAGCGGACATGGTGAAAGCTTTCTTGAATCAACTGCACAGTGCAAAAGAACCATCAGAGAACCATACAAGAGAGTAGTTTAGTGGGAAATGAGCGGAGAGTCTGGGTTTGAATATGCAGGAAAAAATACAGGCAAACTTTTAGTCAGGTTGCATAATGGCACCATCAGTATAGGAACATTTTGTTGGCTGCTGAGGAAGGGGATAGAACATGTGTGAGAATGTGCTGAGTGCAGTGTTGTCATTTCTCAGTTGATTCATTCATTTTTCAGATTTTACTCACAGTGTAAAGTAATGCTTGTGTCTTTATCCATGTGTGTGTTTAAACAAAAAATGAATAAATAAAAAAAAAAAAAAAAACACACACACACACACACACACACACGCACACGCACATATATACATATATATATATATATATATACATACACACATACACATATACACATAATATATATACATATATATATATATATATATATATATATATGTATATTTATATACATATACACACACACACATACATACAAGTTTAAGTGCTGACGGTAAACAAAGTTAAACATTTTTTTAAAAACTGGATCTGATTTTTTTTCCCCTAGATGGTCTATGATCTCATGCAGACTTTGTTTGAAACTCACAAAGAAAGGAAAGAAACAAAATACCACATTGGTCAGCTGTTTATCATTGACAGAGGTTAGCTGGAGAATGTTACAAGTATTTGTTTGTTAATGTTTAAGCATGCTCAGATTTTATGTTGATCTTGTTTATGTGTTCTGATAGTATTATGGTTGTCATCAGTTTCCACTTTTGCCATTAAGCGTCATGGGGAGGAACAGTTTGTGTTCCATTGCTTGTTGGGTAGCAGTGACTATTCTAAGTCAGCTCTGTTGTTCTGAGGTTAAAAATCTTTTTTTAAAAAATGGCTCATGTGTTGTTTCTGAAAGATTCTGCCATGCAGTAACATTCACTCAATTCCCTTGCTTGGTTTCTAATGCAGCTGCCACCTGATTGGGCAGACTGTTTCCAGTCCATTGAACCTTGAGCTGTAGAACATGGGTCAAAAGAATCCATTTTACAGTTATGCTCTAAATTCATGATACTGATTTATTTTATGTGTGCATATTTCAGACATTGATCTTGTGTCACCTCTGTGCTCTGCAATGACCTACGAAGCATTGCTTGATGAAACATTTGGAATTGAATGTTGTAAGTATAAGTTACCAGGCCTTTAGGGGAAGTAGAGGATAGGAAACTGTTGCCCATGTGTGTCCTGGGGCTCCATTGTGGTGAGGAAAAAACAAAAAATAAAAACCACTGCCATTGTAACAGAAAATTTTCTCCTTTGTTGTTACTAAGCATAAATTATGTATGAGAATCCAAATGTTTGGTGTTGATTACTGAAGCAAAATATATGTGTGAATAAATCAAATGTCAAACCGAGGCAAGTGTGAAGTTTGTGCAGTTTGGCTGAAGCATGCCAAGCAAAAAAAAAAAAAAAAAGCATGAATGCATGAGAATAGTTTTGAAGTTCAAGAGTAAAAGGAAGAGGTTAATAAAGCCGGAAGCAAATGAGAGAGCTCAGTCTTGTTTTTGTTCCGGAGAGAGTCAGTGTTGTGGTGCTTGGAGAGTGAAAGCCAAGTAAATCTACCAGCAAGTAATTGTATGCTCAAGTGTAGACCGTGGCTGCTGAAAATACCTGGCCATCTTTTTAGCCTGACATCTTGGAATGGCTGAACAAGATGGCCAGGTTTTTCTGTTGCAGAAAGATGATGTCTGTTTTCAAGGTTCAGAGCTATCTAGCTCAAAGTCCTGTTATTTTTTTTTCTTCCAAATAATCTTGTTAGTTCCATTTTTTTAAATTTATTTTCAGTGAATACTATAATCTCTGTGTGCCTTTTGTATCAGTTGGATTCTTGTAAATTTGTCTGAAGTATTTCAGTGTCAAGAGGCAAAAGAAGTGCTTGGGGCTTCTTAGCAAAAGTTAATGGTCGACGTTTGGTGCAGGAGTGCCGAGCATATGATGCCACAACATCCAGCTTAAGAATGGAGGTGGAGGCGGGTACTGCAGCTTTCCGCTGGCTAGAGAACAAGACACACACACACATCGTGATTGTAACTGATTCAGTAAGCATGCTGAGGAAGATCAGAACAGGTATGCTCCGTGCAGAGTGGCATGCTTCGCTGCTGAGGTCACGAGTGAGGAGTATTGTCTGGATTTTTTCACCGGGTTACGCAGGTGTGTTGGGAAATGAACAGTCGGACAGACTGGCTGGCTTTGCACAACTTGGTGGAATACTGCTACATGATAGGGCAGACGTGGTTAGTGCCTTGTGGGAGAGCGTGTACAATTCGGAGGAGCAGATGGATCACCACAATCTGGTGAGATTAATGCAGTTGGGGGTGACCAGAGGTTCTAGCAGATGCTCGAGGCTCAGAGGAAAGGCAAGACGGACGTTTAATCAGAAAGCTACTGGTACCATTAGTATCAGAACTCTTCGCTGGCTGCTGAAGATGGGGATGGAGCGCTTATGGGAATGCCCCGAGTGCTGTGATGTCGGTTCTTGAATCAAATCAATCAATCAAATCAATCGGTCTAAAGTATTGCATCTTCCTGTTGGCTGTCTCATATCTCATGTCAAAAAGTCTGTTATCAGTTGTATACATGTACATTCCTACCATTCCTGGATTTTAGCTCTCTATAGAATTGTATCTATTTGTATCTGAATCTTTTTATTTTTGTATTGTGGTGATCTAATTACTGCAGTATTAATTTTGTCAGTCATGGTAATTCATCATATTTTTCTGGAACTTTTAGCCATGATCACATTTGATCCTTCTGTCACGGGAGATGCCAAAGATGTCAAGCTGCTTTTAACTAACCAGGATGAGGTATTTAATATTAGTTATTCAGAAGTGAAATTAACAACCTTAAAAAGAAGAACAAGTTGAGAGAAAAATAGAAAGAAAGAGAAAATAAATAGAAAAGGAGGAACAAATTACAAAAAGGAAGGTGAAAAGGAAACAAAGAAGAAACAAATTCTACTCGTTTATATTATTTACTTTATTGAAAAGGGGGGGGGGGGAAGGGGGTAGAACAGGGGAGGGGAGAATTTGTTAACTAGTGTCAAACATCTTTCTCCTTTTGCATTTTTGTTGGGATGAAAATCAGTTTTATTTATCTGTTCAGAAATCTAGTTTCCTCTTGTCATTCCATCACTGTATTTGCCTCCCGAACTTCCATCCTACTTTCAAGAGAAAAGCAGAGTTGTTCATCAAAGGACAGCAACTAAAATAGTTTGATCATAGATCATGACAACTCCTTATGCGGCCTCATTGTGTGTGTAAAGAGACCCCTCCAACAACAAGCATGCTGTAAGAGTAAATTAGGGGTTTCCTTAAAAATCAGAGTAGTGTATCTGAGAGACGAGTTACCAACAGTCTGCATACAGATAAGCCAGATCTATAAAACGGATGTGCACACAAAACTCAAGTTTTAGAATAAGACTCTAGTCCAGAAGTGGATGATTAACCAGAAAAATTTCCTCTGGAGTTTACATCTAGTGAACATGAAGAGGAAGACAAAGATATATAAGATAACCAACAGACATCCCTCATAGAAAGTAATATCTTTCAGATACATCAGGAATAAAGTAAAGTCCATCCTTGCAGATTATGAATTAAGTGCATACTAATGAACCATAATCATGTTGACTGCACCACATTTCAGGGCTCGCTCCAAGACTGTGTCATTTCATGTTGTGGTGCTGCAAGGAAAACACTGTGGAGCATGGTTATCATAACTGAAGCTGACTGTGTCTGGTTTGGATTTATGTCTTTTACTAGGAAAACAGGATTGTAAAAATTTAAGATTTAATAACTGAATAATTTATCTCCTAACTGATAATTATCTTTCCATTCATTTAAATTTCATTAAGATTTTTAAGTTGCTATTTTTTTTTCAGATTTACAGTCAGATTAGAGATCGTCATTTTTCAAATGTGTTCTCGTATTTGAGCGGAAAAGCTAAAGACTTGCAGGCAATCTATAGTGTAAGTTCTAAGTTTCAAGAGTCAGTTTTACTTAGAATATTCTTGAGTTTGCTTTCCATATTTATTTGATTTTTCATATTTGAGCTAAGGCAACCTGCCAGCCCAGTGATGAAGTCACTTTGGAAGTAACTTTTTACATTAGCCTGGACTTTCAGGTGGACCTAGACTAAAGATGCATAGCCAGATCTGCCTGAGAAGTATCCTGAGTTTTCTCCTCTAGCATCTACACCAATATTTAGGGTCATGTTATATTATCACAATCAACGTCACTGAACATTGGGCATAACCATGCATGCTCAGTCCTCAGAAGCAGCAGCCACCCAGGGTACCTCTACTGATTGTTACCATGAGGAGCTGGTTACAATGTTTCCTAGCTCTACCTCGAAGGCGGCATTGATATGCTTTACTGCCATGTCTCGCAATCGTGTCAGAGATTCCAATTTGGGGTCATGGTGAAGGGGTCAAGCCATTTCTCTCAAGCTCTGGATGTTGTGGGTTCATTTCATGGATGGGTCATTCAGTTCATGAGAGCAGATATTATATTTATGAAGATCCCTGGAGATTGTTGCTGGAGCTGTAGTGTTTGTGCAACACTCATGACAGGCGGCCGGCAACTTTGCATATTTAAAAAAAAAAAAAAAAATACAAAACTGGATGACTGCAGTCATGCTGGTATCAAGAAAATAATCCACTGAACTGTGACTAAAGCTTAGCAACGGTGGAAAGGGCTGACTTTGTGTCTGCTTTATGTCATTATAACTTTATGTCTGCCTTTTATGTTGCGTTTTTGTTGTTGTTGATAAAGGCTGCTGCTCAGTTGTCTCAATGTTTCTGTGTATGTATTTTTCCTCTTCCCAGATTGTTAAGCTTCTTAGTCAGTTCCTCCTCGTGTGGGTTCTGGGGCCCTATTATAGGGAAAACAAGAATAGACCCACTGCCTACCCAAAAGCATGTCTTAAGAGTTGACTAAATTGGAGCTTCCTTCGAAGTCGGAATGCATCTGCCTGAGAGGCAAGGAACCAGCAGTCTGCATAAAATGAGTCAGATCTGTAAAATGGATGCACACGCAACACTCAGATTCTGGAACAGGGCTGCAGTCGAGAAGTGGACGAACAACCAGAACTTTCCACCGGAGTTTATAGCTGGTAAACGCGAAGAAGAAGAAGAAGAAGCCACAGTTCAGTCCTGGTGCAGGGAAGTCAATCCTCTCAACTTTCACTCAGTAAGATCCATTGAGAGCTGATTAATTTATAAAAATATGGACTGACATCATATGCCTAGAACACCTCAGTGTGTGTCTGTAGGTTCTTTATTTGTTGCTGACTTTCTAATACAGAAAAAGAACAACCTGAAAACTGTTGGTGACATGAGAGAATATGTGGCAAATGAACTGCGGCAGTTGAAGCAGCAGCAGAAACTTCTTTCAACACGTAAGTAAAATATTAACAGGAAGTGAGAATATAGAGTACATTTTGTTAATTACTGATGTTATGATATGTTTTGATATACACTGGACCTCGGGTCATGAACTTATTTCGTTCTTTGACTCTATTTTCAAACCAAAACATTCGCCAGCTGAAATAATTTCTCCCATTGAAGTCAGCGCAGTTCACTTCACCCGCCCAAGGATCATATTGTTTATTTTTGACTTTTGTGTGTGTTGTGTGTGGATTTATGTGTTACAGAAATGTGTAAAATAAACCATGCAGTATAACTTTACCTTTGTGGTCGATAGTTACTGGCACGGTTAGATAGTAGAGGAGGAGGAGGAGAGAAAACTATTCCTTTAATGGAGTCTCATTGCATATTAATGTCAGGCAACTATTTAGGTGTCTGGTATCTTTTCTCTTTTGTTTCCTGGGAAGTGGTTGGATTGCTGGCTTGGTGGTTAACAGTAATTTTTGTACAACTTGGTGGAATATTGATGCACGATAAAGCAGATGTGGTTGGGGTCTTGTGGGAGAGTGTGTACAGTTTGGAGGAGCAGATGGACCATGAGTGTGGTGAGATTGATGAAGTGGGGATTGACGAGGGGTTCTGGCCGATGCTTAAGGCTCAGAAGAAAAGCGAGACGGACGTTTAATCAGAATGCTACTGGCACCATTAGTATTGGAACTCTGGGCTGGCTGCTGAAGATGGGGACAGAATGCTTATGGGAATGCCCCTAGTGCAGTTCAACTTCCTGCACTCACAACCTAAAGTGATTAAAACCTTACACGAATCTGAGTCTTGTAAGGACACTTTTACCCACTCCTCTCCTCCCCAAAATTATGAAGCCTACACAATGTCTAATTGTGTCTTCAGCTTGTGCTATCCAAGACATTCCTCTTGCAGTCTGTGACCTTTAGCTCTACCTTGGGCTACCTAGGTGCTTCTTGTCTGCAGCTACTATGAGATATGAGTTTGCCTGCAGAACTTTGAGTCTTATCTGCAATAGTAGGCAGTGCAAATATATATCGCATACATACTACCAGAGTATCTCTTGTACGTCCCAGAATTACCCCCATGGCTTCATTCTGTCTGCTCTGAAGTTTCATCAGCTGACTCTTTGTCTTGGTGTGAGCTGGTTAAGGGTCTATGAGCTACTGAGAGTTGAAAGGTGGAGGACTAAAACAAAATTCTGGCTTCTTTTTTCTGCATTCAACTTCAGTCATGGTAGACATCCAGTCCTGTCACACACAAGATACCCAGCTTCTGCCAGGAGGAGAAGGGCAATCCTGTAGCACATGTTTGGGAGTCTTGTCTATTTTTTCCCACACTCTTCATCATCATCATCATGTGCCCTGCTAACTGGCATGGGCGCTCATGCATCTCCACAGATCATGATGATTCGATCTGTGTTTTCTTATGAGTTTTCTTGGGACAATATTGTGGTGGTTTCCCGTTGCCTTTCACATCCACATGGGGTATTTTAACCTGCACCTTTGACAGTAATTTTGACTGTCAGGACAAGTGGGTGCCCTTCTCAGCCCTGCTGCGGAGTGGTCCAATTATCCCGGTGGATACTCGGCACCCATATCTGCATTAGCCACACCATGGTGTTTTCCCACCCTCCACCACTTACACATGGCAAATACTTGTATGTCTATTCTGTGTAGGTGTGCTCTAAAACAGCAGCGTCTTGTCCGAAGCCTGAGAAATTTTGTTTGATTTCTAAAATATGTAAAAAGAAAAGACAGTGCACATATACTGTCAGTTTTTATATTGCTTCATGATTTATTTTCTGAGTTTTGTGAGAATAGAGTTCATCTTCATCTCTTTGTTTATTTTACTTTTGTTCATTTGTTCTTTTTATGTTTTGCAGATATAAGTGCATGTGAGTCTATTATGAAATACAAGGGACAAACAGATTTTGAAGAGTTCTTGAAGACTGAACATAGTGAGTAAATATTTTTGTTTTTGTTAACTGAATAACATTGATTTTTGACATGAAGTCTGTCCAATGTCTACATACCACCAAGATGTTTGCATATCTGGTGTGAAGTTTTACTTATGCCCATTGGGGTTAATGTACTTTATCCTACATCCACAATCATCACTTTTGTCTCTGCTATATGTTGCATTATCCTGAAGACCTAAGAAATTGTGTTTCTGTCGGGGGTCAAAAATAAAAATCCTAAACTGCAAAGTTTATGGTGACTTCATTAGATTTTAAGCAGGCCACTAGTTTCTTTTTAAAACACGTAGCTGTCAAATAGGAGGGGTTCAAAGAATAACCTGAAATAACAACATCGGAAATAGACAGGACTAAATTACTGTACATTTCTTCAGCAAGCGGAAGACAGATAAAGATTGCTGGTTTTATGTGCTGTTTCTTCCATTGATACACCTGCATGATCTGGCAGGTCAAGGGTTACGTTATGTTACAGATGTGCCTCATTGAACTTTTCATAAATCTATATTAATAAAAATGTTAATTTTCCGAGTTTGTTAAATATAGACTCGGACACTACTGAACCGATTGCTTTCAAGTTTTCACACAATGTTGCCTTTGACTCAAAGCATGTTTTTTGTCATAAAATCGCACAAACCACGAATGACGTAGCTCCAGCAACGATCAAATCATTTTTTTGTTTCTTTGCCGGCCCAGATTTGTTTTTAGTTGATTGGCCACCTTCGACTGCTGAGCAGGGCTGCCAATAGATGCCTTTTCCCCCAGGATCAATCTCCAACATTTCTTTACCGATCGCTTTCAAATTTTCACACAACGTTGCCTTAGACTCCCCGCGTGTTTGTATGTTTAGTTTTGTACAAACCACGAATGACGTAGCTCCAGCAACGATCATTTCATTAGTGGTTTCTTTGCCGGCCCGGATTTGTTTTTAGTTGTTGGTCACCTTTGACTCTGTGTGTAACACCGAACTTCACATTATTATATAATTTCATTTCTACTAAATGCTTGAATAGTTGTTAGCAGAGTTAGTTGTAAGCATTTCACCTTTCAGGTGATAGGCGTTCGATTCCCCGCTGGGTGATATAATTTTTTTTTTTTAGGTTCCCAACTTGGTGGCTGCCACGTTTTGTTGTGGCCTATAGCTAGGCTGCAAAATCTACGCCTTTTTTTTCCCCGCTCGATTTTGGGGTTTACAGCTAGCATGCGATAGCGGCGCCATGATGCTCAATGTTCATGTCACGGGTAATATTCGTTTGCCCTTGAGAGGGCGGTTGGCATGTTGTGTTGTGGTTTACAGCTAGGCTGCGATATCTGACCTGAAGTCTTAAATCTTTGGTAGTAGGGTTGTAAGTATTCCGCCCTTCATGCGGATGACTGGTGTTCGATTCCCCGCTGGGTACTAATTTTTCTTTTTCCCCTAATGAGGCAGTTGGCACATTGTGGTTTACAGCTAGGTTGCGATATCTACCCCTTATGCCCAAAGACATCCAATTTCAGTAAACTCCAAATTAGCCTCTCCTCGATGCTTCACTCGATCAACAACTATTCGTTGATGTCAGAAACTGTTAACTAAGATGCATTACGGTCCAGTTTGGTTTGGGTTGACACGGACGCCAAGATTAATTAAAAATCGTCCCTTCGATCGCTATTTGTGAGTATAGTGTACTTTTTTTTTTCAATCACGGAATATTAATGTGGGTTCCACCACTGGTTAGGTGATGGAGTTTTATGTCGGGGGCACACTAAAACTAAAAGTCCGTGGCGACAGCATGCGGCGCCAACTCCTCTGGCTACAACGATTTTTACAGACAGTAGTGACCTTTTGTGTTGTTGTTTTTGTTGTGACGGTGGTGGTGGTAGTGGTAGCAGTAGTACTGGTACTCGATGGGTGATGTAGTAGCTGTTACACTGGCCACATTTACTTCTCAGTACAGATAAATGCTACCCATTTTAGTCTGGGTGGACATGGATGCCAAGCTCAATTTAACAACAATATTTCGTCAGGCAATGACTTTCCCATACTTCTTAGAGGATGCTATGATTGTGGGGGGTTGGGGGGGGGGGGGGGTTGATGCCAGACACTGTTAACTGAGAGAACTTAAAATATTATTTTAAAGTTCTCATTTCTTAAATATTTTTATTTTAGCATTGTCGCCACGGGATAGTTGTTAAATCATTCTGAGAGGAAGATATGATTGGGGAAGAGGGGGGGGGGGGGGGGGGGGAGGTTATGACAGACACTGTTAGCTTATAACTTTATTTTACAGTTCTAATTTCTTACATATTTATATTTCAATACCGCTTCCTCAGCTATTCTCATTTTTTTTTTTTGGGGTGCCAGTTTGTTGGTCAGTTAGAGGTATAGCAGTCAGTTTTACTTTTACCTGTTTAAGCACAACAGATGCTTCAGCCTCGATAAACAAATAATCTTTTTTTTCTCTCTCTATCAGTGCACTTTATTCAACCACTAATATCGACATTCACTGATATGTTGCGTGTTCTAGAGTTGGCATATCAGACTATCTCTGTAGCTGTGCAATGACTGATATTAACCATATTAGACAGGTGCGCTTTCTATTTTCTTTCTTTTCCAGTTTACCATTCTGGGCCACAGCAACGCGTGGCTGGGTACAGCTAGTGCTTACATAGAAAATACCTGCTTTAGATCTAAATGTTACAAAAAAATACTTAGAATATTCTAGATCAAGAGAAAATGTTGAATTAAGAATTGACATCACAGCACTCGGGACACCCCCATAAGTGCTCCGTTCACATCTTTAGCAGCAAGAGAAGAGTTCAATTCCGATTGCACCAGTAACCGTCTGAATGTTAAGAGGAAATGAAATGACCGACATTCTTTAAGATATGAACATTTATAAAAACTGGCTTATGAATGTTATGCTTCTGCAAAATAAATACTTTTGCCACATCTCCATACATTGGAATTATCATTTATTTACATGTTAAAATTGTTAATTCTCTTAGTCTTCTTTTTGTTCTTCCTGGCAGCGGTTGAGAAGGCCTCAGGCCTCTCTGAAGGCCATGATGTGACAAATGTCTTCCATCGATCCATACAGTCTGGTTTCCTGTAATGTTAACTGACCAGACCTAGCGTGCCTGTAGCACGTGTTCAGTGTTTTGGGGTGCTGTCCACATGAGCAAAGTTCTGAGCCCCCAGTCTTGAATTTCTTGTACATATGGCTATGGAATCTCTTGTGTCCAGTTCAAAATCTAACCACTGACTGACTTTCTACCCCACCAGGATATCACACAAGCGATAAACACCCGATGACACAATGTGCCACCATGCAGATGAGGATCATCGTGGAGAGGTCCCAGAAACCACATTCAGCCTTTAGGCCATATTTATGGCCAGCTATATTCCAGTCCCTGGCAAGAGCCAGAGTAGGGCTTCAAATAACGAAAAATTTCATCCTAAAAAGGATAAGTATGGATAATCTAACAACAGTGGGTTTTTTCATGTGAGGAAGTTGACTGAGTCTTAGGGATTGGTTCTGGATTGGAAAATAATCTTTTAAAAAACTGTGTTTTTTAAATATCACCTTTTAGAACATTCACTAAAATTTGTGCACCAAGTTTCTGATGCATACAGTTCTCAAAGCTGTGTATCCCCTTTGTGAACTTGAATAAAGAAGACAAACAATAGACTGCACGATTTATTGCCTGGCATATTCTGCTGTTTATTATCATGGCTTCCATGTAGTAGGGCATTCTGTACCTCAAAAAACTGCAGAATGCTTCCTACATAAAAACCACAAAAATAAACTGGTTCAGTCCAGAATTGTGCTGACAAAAGGGCATGGTTATGAACTTGCACTGGCTTTGGTGAAACAGGCTGTTCTTTTGAATGTAGTTGGTTTGTATGTTTCAGTTCAAAGGATTCATTTATTTGCTTCATTTTAGTGAATTGTTACTGTAGTATGCACCTGATGAGATGAGGGAAATATGCTTTGCAATAAATTATTCAGTCTGTTGTTTGTGTCTCTTTTATTCAAATCATACAGTTCTGTTTTCAAATTACTACTGTTTCACTTCAGTAGTCTGTATCACAGAAATGTGATTTACTATCTTTTTTACTGCAGCTCTTTTGGATGGAACATCTATTAAAGAAAACATAGCCTACATTGAGGAATGCATACACAAACAAGTGAGTTCGTTGGGAAGGGATTAGGTTTAGTTTGAATTTTTGGGGGTTTGAATGTAAGCATCTTTATAGTTAGTTGTTTGTTTGTTTATGCGCCTGATGTAGATAAACTAAAAGTATAAAGCTTTAACTTGAAGTATGAAGCTGGTGATAGTAGGGCAGCTTTGTTAAAAAAGTAAAGGATTCATTTCTGAACTTTGACACATATTGGGCATGTGATGCTAGATTAATCAGCGTTTGATGATATGTATGATCAGTATTATTGTAGCAGCCTTTACCTCTAATTAAACAAAAAACTTCATTGTGACGAAATGAACCTATGACCGTGAATATGATAAACATGCCAATTACTGCATTAATTTATTCTCAGATCATGTGGTTTGTTTTTGGCTTTTATTTTTCTAAATAAAATAGTGGTAACCATTGTTTGCATTAAGTTTTCTTAAGTTGTCAAAATCAAAACAATTTCTAAATGGAAGTGTTGAAATCATCATTCTACAGTTTTCTCCAGTTCTGACATTGCGACTTATCTGCCTGTTGTCCTTGACACAAGAAGGACTTACCCCCAAGGACTACAAATCTCTAAAGACACAATTTCTACATGTAAGTTCACACCACATTTTCCTTTCATTTGTAAAAGTTTCTGATGAATTGGAAGGCATTGGAACCTGAGACTGTGGAACAGCAAGAGTCTCATAGAAGGTATGCCTGATCAAGGGAAGTTAGTTAGTTAGTTAGTTAGTTAGTTAGTTAGTTAGTTAGTTAGTTGGGTTATCGTCATTGCACTCCGGACATGTCCATAGGTGCTCAGATCCTCCCCTCAGTATGAACCCCAACGTCTGATGGCTAATAGTACCAGTTCTATGTTGATTAACAAGTCTTCTGGCGTGTCTGGTGTGCGTCTCGTTTTTTGCTGTGCCGATCTTAATTCCCAAGTCTGCCATTCTGGCGAGTGATGTGGATTCACTGCCACCAAAGTCCTCTATCCTTCCCATTTCTCTGAGGGCATTGATAATATCAGCATGATCCATAGGCCGACCGTCGCTCTGATCAAGGGAAGTACCCAACCACATGTATCCTGGAAACCAAATCATCCTATGTGGCCAAAAATGGGAGGCTTCTTAGACACCTGCCGTGGACATGGGTGAGAAGCACCCGTTTTGAAATCAAATAGCACTCACTACGTGGAAAAGTGCAGCAAGATACACTATAGAATTTAATCCTGTTGCTCGAGAAAACTGGTATTCCAACTTTTACAGATATGTGATGCCATGGTGTTGTTGGCCAGTGGCCTTATGCCTATATAACAGTTTTGGTACCGGCTGCAACTGCATAGTCTGTAGACATGGTGGGTGTGATTATATTTACCCACAACATTTTTTAGATAGGTATTGTTCAGAGTGAAAAATATTTATTCATGTCTCTGTGAGTGTGTGCATGCATGCAAATGTGCTATTTAATTTTACAGATTTTATGAATCTTTACACTCCTCCAGAGTCATGGATTTGAACATTTGGTGACATTTTTCAACTTGAAGAAGCTGGGCATGCTCACTGAACAAGAAGTGGTCCAAAGTGGTGTCCGGTCATTGGTGCGCAGATCTAATTATGCTACCCTGAATCGCAAGCTGGGATTGGTTCCTAAGCAGTCAGAGGACTATGATCTCAAAAATCCAACTGATATATCCTATGTTTTCAGTGGAGCATATTCTCCGCTGCCTTGTAAACTTGTGGAGCAGGTATGTCATCATGTGCACAGGTCTTCATAGTTTCTATGTCACATGATCACCAGGTTAACAGATAAGATCATTGCTCTTGTCCTGCCGAAGCCATTTAGCCAATCCATTCAGGTATTTTGCTTTGTCTTCCACTTGCCGTTTTTCTGTCAAGTTTGAAAGCTGTAACCAAGTTTTTTTTGTGTGTTGTGTTGTTTGTCCTTTTCACAAAATGTACAGACAGTTATGACTTTCTACATATATTTCTCTAATCAGTTTACAGTTTTAGACTATCTTATTTGTTTTACCTTTTTGCAGTATATAAGCTTCTTTTTCGTCTTCTTCTCCTCACACTGTTACCAAGTTGTAGCTCACTGTTATAGTTTTCTATATTTATCTTACAATTCTCGAGTGGCTTGAGTGAAGGTTTTGTTGATTTTTTTGCAGGATTGAGTTACGCCATCTGTCCATGTATTCCTTTGTCTTCCTCACTGTCCGCTCAGATGTTCTGCTATCGAAGGTCTCATATACATTTTGGTCTGCCTTCTCATCATCCTCAGTGAACATTAATTCACTCAGGGTTACCTTTATAATTACTTTGGGAAGAGGACCTTGTATATTCTTTTCATGGTTGTTACCCAATCACCAACTTCTTTACATAACGTTTCCTTTATTTGTCCAACCAGAAAGCAACATTTGTTTGCCAGTTCCCCTGTCTCTAACTTTCTTTTCTTGTCCAACCAGAAAGCAACATTTGTTTGACAGTTCCCCTGTCTCTAACTTTCATTTCTTGTCCAACCAGAAAGCAACATTTGTTTGCCAGTTCCCCTGTCTCTAACTTTCTTTTCTTGTCCAACCAGAAAGCAACATTTGTTTGCCAGTTCCCCTGTCTCTAACTTTCTTTTCTTGTCCAACCAGAAAGCAACATTTGTTTGCCAGTTCCCCTGTCTCTAACTTTCTTTTCTTGCCCAAGGTGTCTGTAATCTTCTTTTTCTTGTTCGCTGGCTATAAACTCCAGCAGAAGTTCTGTTTGTTCATCCTCATCTCAAAACTTGAGTTTTGCATGCAAATCGGTTTACAGACCTGGCTTACTTGAATGCAGACTGGATTTGCTCCCCTCTCAGGCAGATACAGTGACTTCAAAGAAAACCCTAATTAGTTTACTTTTATGGCGTGCTTATAAGAGGTTCTTTTCTTATTTGTCCCAGAACCCACACGGACAGGTATCTGTAGTGATCTCTGTCCTCTTTTTTATTAGTCAGTCCTTACCTTTTCTATGTGGGTGTGTGTGTTCGCGCGTGAGCGTGCGTACATATTTTACCAGCCATGCTTTTGTTTTTGACTTCATATATATAATATGCATATTATTACATGAATATAACATGCTTCATTGATGAAATACAACTGCTGTGTGAAAGATGGAAGTTTGGAAGGGCCGAATGTAAGACAGGCCTGTGTGCCTAATTTGTAACCCTTTGAAAATAAAGTTCGTTCGTTCGTTCGTTCCAGGAACCATGCTTTCATTACTGTTCTTTTAAAACCATTTGTCATTTAATGTCAGCAAAAACTCCATTTTTGGGGGAAAATGAATAGACACACTAACTTCCTAAGAAGCATTTTGTTAAAATGCAACTTTAGTAGTGGTGTTTGATTTGAAGTCAGAGTACATTTGCCTGAGAGGTAAGGAACCCGGTCTGCACACAGTTGAGCCAAATCTGTGAAAATGGATGTGCACATACAGCTCAAGTTCTAGAAGAAGACCAGAGTCCCTCCATGTTCCTGAACATTGATGGAAGGCCTGGTTTAACTAATTTAAGATGATCATGGGACTTTTCCTAAATCTATGACAGGAAAGTACGCAAGACAAGGCAAGTGTCAGGGGACAATAATCTTTCTAGAGGACTTTTATGGGTTGGATATTTTGCAAAGGACCTGCTACATGTTAAAACTAATCCTCTTCAGATATTCATGAAAAAAGTCAAACCATCGTGGGGAAAACAAGAATAGACCCTCTGCCTACCCAAAAGCATGTCGTAAGAGTCTACTAATTGGGGAGCTTCCTTTGAAGTCAGAGTGCATCTGCCTGAGAGGCAAGAAACCAACAGTCTGAGTTCAAGTGAATCAGATCTGTAAAACTGATGCACACGCAACACTCAGGTTCTGGAGCAGGACTGCAGTTCAGAAGTGGACGAACAACCAGAACTTTCCACCAGAGTGTACAGCTGGTGAATGCAAAGAAGAAGAAGAAGAAGGTTCTTTATTGTTCCTTGATTTATCATAAATGTTTGTAAAATAAAGCTTGCTGTTTTTCATGATACTAATTTGGCCTTATGTAGATTATCACCAGAGATACCCTCATTGGCTTGGAGGATGTTGGAAGAATGTGCGGTGGGCTACATTCAGACCTGAAAGTCAAAAACAGAGCTTTAGGTGCAGGTAGATCAGTTTCACAATCACTGTATTTGTTCATTTACTGTGTTAACTCTAAGCTATTGTAACTCAAAAGGAGTAAATTTTATAAGTAAATCTGAAAATTAATTTGATCAGCATTTTTTTACCAGATCCTTGAAGGTCGGAGTGCATCGCCTGACAGGCAGGCAAGGAACCAGCTGACTGCACACAGAGAAGTCAGATATAAAAATCAGATGTGCACATGAAAGTCGAGTCCTGGAACGAAGTAAAAGTCCAGAAATGGATGAACAACCAGGAATTTCCCTCTGGAGTTTTCAGCCAATGAATGAAAACAAACTCTTCTTCTTATTGTTCACCAGTTGTAAATTCCGGCCGAAAGTTCTGGTTGTTTGTCCACTCTTGAACTTTGATTTTGATCCAGAATTTAAGTTTTGCCTGCACATGCATTCTACAGATCTGGTTTATTTTTGTGTAGACTGTTGATTCCTTGCTTCTCAGGCAGATGTACTCCCCCCCCCCCTTCCCCCCCTCCAAAATGGAGCCCCGGAACCCACACAGGGGGGAAAAGAAACAACATGTTCCCAGTGTCAAACATTAACACTTACCTATAACAAATAATATAACAATAACAGAAATGAGATATCCTAGGAGAGCAGCCAGAGCAACAAGGAAATATAACAATTAAAATTAATGATTAGAAGAAGGCTAGGACTGAAATCAGTCATTTATTTAATTAAACAAGGAAAGATGAAATGGTTTGATCATCTACAAAAACATTCTGGTACCTGCTACCAAGTTAAAGAAATATAATGAGCAAAAAGCAAGGGGAAACCTTGCAAATTATGGAATGTTGGCATCAAGGGTAACCTTAGAGAAATACAGGCCAGCATACACAGTACGTTGGAAAGAATACACTATAAAACTATAGTGGATTCGAAAGTCCACTGCAGTAAAAGTCTAACATGCTAAAGAAAAAAGTACTCATTTTATGTATGTAATCAAAATCCAAGGTCTGAGGGCTGCCTACTGTTGGCTCAGAAAGACGTAGCTCATGATGAATGAGATGTTCAGTTTGTGGAAGTGAGGTTAAACAGTCATGAGCAGGACGTGACGATTCCTTGGGTGAGCCCAGTACCTGAGCACCGTGTGTTAGCTCTTCTTTTATGGAAGCCTCCTTGGATGGCGGGGAATGCTCATGTTCGGCCTCTGCCTTCTCTTGAGGGCTGATCAGCATTAAGTGGCTTCTCTGGACCGGTCTGATGTGGGGCACCACCTGTGACCTGGGAAACAAAGCTGACCACACAACAATGAGACTGCATTGCCCCACAAAACTAACCGGGAAGGCTAACCCGGTCAACAAATTCCTGCAGAACTCAGATGTGTTGTCTCATTAATGCAAATATCACAGCCATACTGTAAACGGGCACAGCGCAGTTACTTCTTCGGATGAAGGCAGAAGAAGAAGAAAGAATACACAATAGTATGCAGAGTTTGTATACATTGTTTGTTTGCTGTGGGTCCAGGGGCCTCATTTTGGAGGCCAAACAGAACAGACAAACTGCTCCTAACAGGCATGTCATAAAAGGAAACTGATTAGGAGTTTGTCGAAATCAGATTTGTTGGGCCGAAAGGCATAGCTGTCACTGCCAAACTGTAAACCCTTGCCAACCACAATTTTTAGGACACCCCATCCCCCCACTCCCACACACACACAAAATAATTATTTAAAAGGCAAAAGAGGTTAGTTGTGTGTCCCTTTGTTTTGGTGGTTTGTAATTTTACTAGCCAATTTTATGTTCAGTAGTTTGCCATTGCTCTGAATGGCCGGCTTTTGATACCACTGTCAAAACCAACAAACACAAGGAAGTGTGCTGCCAGATCACTTGCAGCAGGGATCAAACCTGGCTCCTCTGCATTGTGAAGCATGCTTTCGCAACGCCTGAGCCACAGTACATTATTTTATGCACTAGCCAACCCTACCCCATTTGTTATTTTCTCCATATCTGCAAAAACTAATTACCAGGGGCAGAAATAGCAGCCAAGCTGTAAACCACAATGCAAAAAAGCTAATTACCCTTTCAATAGGGAAGGCAGAAGAAGTATACATTATTTATTATTTGTCGTCTTGCATATATTGCATGTCAAAAGTCAGGGGTTGAAGTCCACATTGAGGCAGATTGTTTCCTTAATTGAGCTTGGTTCCTAGACTGACCCAGCCTATGATGAGTACCAGGTAATGTCCTGGGCAGTAAAGGCAGCTGACCACAATCACCCATTGAGTGCCCATTGGCCTGTAAAAAATATAGGTCTTGCAGTATTTACATGATGTGCCCAAAGGCCGTACAAGGGTCCTTTACTTATACAGTGGAACCTGGCTTAACGAGCATAATTCGTTCCAGAATCATACTCGCTAAGCGAAATACTCATTATGCAAAACAATTTTTCTCATATAAATTAATGTAAAATACAATAATGCATTCCATGTCGGAAAAATATACTTACAGATTGCTATGTATAAAAAATAGTTTATTCAAAGAAAAGTATATGCATATTGTTAAGGAGAGTGAATCATCTTTATCTTTTCTTCAAACGTGGAATGAGCCCACCTGGAATGCGAATTCGGTTTGCAGAAAAAAAAAGTCTAAATAATTATGATACATAGCTTAATATTTTTTTTTACTAGACAGATGTTCAGAGACATTTCTTTTTGCCGACGCTTCAAAATTTGGCAAAAATACGAAACAGCATTATCACTAAATAAATTTGCAGCGTGCATAGCCACTTCCTTATAAGGGTGATGTTTCTCAATGTAAGATGCAACATTTCCCATGCTTTCAGCATTTCTCTTATTTCGCCAGATGATTGTTGCTTTTCTGTTACCTCCTCCTCCTCTGGCAAGCTTTCGTCAAAAACCTCTTGCTGTGAAACACATTGCAACTCCATAAGCTCGTCGGTTGTCAGCTCTTGGCTGTGCTCTTCCACAAGCTCTTTGATATCACTATTATCCACCTACAATCCTATGATAGTGGCCAAAGACACAATCTCGTTGACTACAGGTTTCTCAAGTACTGTCTCGAACCCCTCAAAGTCACATTCGACAACGCTCTCCGGCCAAAGCTTCTTCCAAGCAGAAGTTAGGGTTCTTTTGGTAACCCCTTCTCCCGCCTTGTCGATCATCTTGAGGCAGGCAACGATGTGGAAGTGATTTCACAAAAACTGTGTAGAGCTTCTTAGAGTTAGAAATAACTTGCTGGTCCATGGGCTGGACTAGCGGAGTGGTGTTGGGAGGCAGAAACTGGATCTTGATAAACTTAAATTCTTCAGGGAGATCATCTTGTAGGCCTGGAAGATTCATGTACATATATCATAATAAAACACAAGTTTGAGAAAATGTGTGATCACAAATGACACTTCAATGCTACTGGAACGAGTGCTAAACACAGACTGATGTAACATGCTCACAATCTGGGACTTCCCCTCTCCTCGCCACTCGTTATGCAAAATGTCACTCTTTAAGCAAGTCATTCTTTTGCAATTTTTTTTTTGCTCGTTATGCGAATTACTCGTTATGAGAGGTGCTCGTTAAGCAAGGTTCTACTGTACCTGAAAGATAAAAGTTAAAGTTTAGAGGATCGACTTCATTGCTCTCCACAGAAGGGCTTGTTGCATGTCAAAAGCATCACAAAAAGCACGTACTCTGCATCTCTAGCAGTGATCCCCAGGGATCTGTATACAAAATTGCACTCGTGAACCAAATGGCACAGCTGTGAAATGAACCTATGACCTTCAGAGCATGAGGCAAACGGCTTGACCACTTCACTGTTGAGAGTCCCATGGTAGACAGGTAGTACTTACATCCTATACAACTAAATGACACTTGTGTAACAATAGAACCTCACTGATTTGGTCCATGCGTAGGTAAAGTCGCTCCAGTGATGGACCCAGCCATGAAGGTCATCCTTGTGTACTTCATTGGGGGTTGTACCTACAGCGAGATTACTGCTCTCAGGTTCATCGCCAAGAGTCATGGTGGGTGCTCATACTCTTTATTTTAATGTTTTAAAAAAGTCATTTGCACATTATCTATCTGGTGCAAAATCTCATAATTTTATGAGAATTGTCATGCTCAACCTTGTTGTAGGGGTGCAGAGAGACCTGGACAATGAATAAACAGCTAGAAAATCGAATGGACTTTCTGGAGCTGTGGATGTGCAGAAGAACAGGACAAATTCTATATAAACAAATACACTCAGATGCAGAGGTTCTGGAAAGGCTGAGAATAAATTGTTTTGGAGTCACAGGTCTGCAGACTGTTTTCTAGCAATTCCTCAAGGGTACAGCCTTTTAATGAGTGGCAAGCTCAATATACAGAAGTGAGTTTAAGCAGTCATTTACAGGACATGACTATTCCTTGAGTGAGCATAGGACCAGAGCACTATATATTGGCTCGGCAATATGGAAACCTTCTTGGGTGGTGGGGAATATTCATACTGTGCCTCTGCCTTCCCTTTAGGGTCGACCATTTTGCATGTGGCTGCTCTGGACGGGTCCTCAAGGGACAGCACCTGTGGATCATAGAATGACGAAGTCACCACACATGAGGTTACACATGTCCAACAAAACTAGCCAGAAGGCTAATCTGGGTAACAAAGGCTCAAAGAAGTCGGTTGTAAATGCCAAAAGATGCAGATATTGCAGCTGTGCTGTAAACTGGCATAACTCACTTACATCACTCAGATGACTAATATTCATCACTCAGCTGGCCAACTTACATCACTCAGATGACCAGCTTACAACATCACTGAGATGACCAACTTACATCACTCAGATAACCAATGAAGAACAAGAGGAAGTCAATAATTACTTGATGTATATTGTCGGTGATACACTACTTCTTATTTTCTTACAGGTTTGAAGATCATTATAGCTACAACTTCAATCATCACAAGCAATAGTCTCTTAGAAGGACTGATGGAGAAGCGGGCCAGATGACCAATGTGCTGATGTGTATCAAAATGATTGTT